TTAATTTTGTTACGAAATTCTTACGAAAAATAATTCAGTGTATTATTGCGTGCTTAGTTATCGCCGTAGTAAGAAATATCATTTCAACTGAAATAACTAATACACATCATTTTACGAAACAACTTCATACGAAAACAACACACATTTCCAGAAGCAACTCACAGCGTAGATAAAAAAATGGTAGGGACGCACCCTCTTGTGACTACATCAACTAGCGAGAATTTTTTTTCTAACTTATCGCAAGCGACTCGCAACTTTGTTCCGAGTTGCGATTCGCGGGCGAGTCTCTTCCTGCGACGCGTCACTTCCGGTCGCCGCGTCGGGGCTCGGCGGAAACCTCCGCCCCGACGCGTCGCGATCCGCCGCGACGGCTCCGCGGATACAATACAACGCATTACGCGCTGGGCATAAATAGCAATGATTGCGTACGCACGCAGATAGGCTCAACCCGAATTCCACGCCTTGGGCCTCGATTAGCGTGCTTTTATTATCGCGCGTGACCTTTGGTTCCGCGGATGTGTTGCCTTCTGCTGTGACACAGAAGCTAATGAACACGAGTTTTCACTGAATGGTGAGTAATTAGGAAAGGTTTTCCTGTTAATGCAACAAACGTGATGGTACGTGCAGTTCTTAAAAAAAATGCACGTCAATTTACCGTTCACGTGAGAAATACTGTCAAAAAGAAGATAATTACTTAAATATTTTACTGTCACTGTTTACTGTAGCACAATCAAATATTTGCGTTTTAAGTCAAAAGTAGAAACATAGTTTTTGTATTTCCCTCGAGTTTCCGAATTTTTAACAAAACCATAGATACCTGATACATGGCCGAAGGCTGCATAGTTTTCTTTCCATTTCTGCTCCCGTTGGAAATTAGTAATACAGATATCCTCGTAATATATTATTTTTTTAGGTAATGTAATAGAATATATCACTCAATCAATTAATTGAATTCACATGCCTAAAACTTCAAGATTTAGCTGAGAGCAAATATTAGACTGCCGTATATTCCGAACACAAATACATTTTGACTTATTTACAATATTCGTTAGAAATTAATAATTGATATAAATTTGCATTTTGAGGTCTAAATTTATGAAATAAAATAAAAAAAATTGCTAATAAATAGAAATTTAGAATGAAGAGCAAATATATATCTGTACGAAGACATTATTCTGCATGCGTCTTGCACTTTAAATGGGCGAAGGAAAAACTGGCAAGCTTGTAATGAATTCTACATCGTACTGTAGAAGTGAGAACAATGAAACAGTTCAAGAGAAAGAAAACTGGTTGGCACAAACACGTGCCCTTCTTTCATTGTTTTGAGGTGACGACAAATTCCACGTAAAATACTTTCCTGTTGGGGTCCGAGGAAAAACAAATCCATCAAAAACAACTGCTAGAAAGCGCACTAGTGCTTTGTTTATTATAACTGGTTGTCGAGGAAAGCGACATTTACATAATCACATCATGGCTTTTCTATATAGTAATTTCAATATTTTTTTAAAGTTTCTATTTCTATATACTAAGAAGTTAGTAAATCGCAGAATTTCCGTTTCTTATTTGCAGAATGTGATTATTAATAACTTACATTGATTATTAAAAACGAAGAAGTATATCAATACGTGATTACTTTATGTCCCTTTTGTTGCGCACACCACGATGCTTAAAAGCGTGCTTCACAATATAAGAAATGTGTCACTACGCGGCGCGACTTCTTTGGGCTCGGTTAGCAGCGATGTTTATTAACATTTATTAACATTCAGAGCATACATGATCAGCATAGATCAGTACAATGAATAGACTATATATGTAGTGATGGCCCACTCATGTACCTAAATTCACAATACAAACTAATTTAGTCAGGAAAACCTCCTTCAGACACCTCAGTACACCACGCAACGAACGTTAAGCATCTGCCATCTCCGCATTGAGCACCGCACAAAGTGTCCTCAGAGTACGATACACGTTTTGAAAGGCGTATAGAGACGGGAGTCGAAGATAAACACTTTTTGACAGTCATCATGTGGTGGGAAAATCTCATATGACTAAGTTACACATGTGACATCTGCCCCTGATTGGTAGGCAACTTATCATGCACTGGTGTTTGGCAGAGATTTCTTGTAGTACCTGACTAACGTAAGACGAGTCGTCTACCAATCAGGGGCAAAGTCACAAAAATGTAACTTCTTTATACACATACTCGTATGAGACTCTTCACTATTGATCACTGGCATAAATTAACCATCTGTGTCACCCTCGCTACATTCCCTAGAAGTTTTTGACATTTATGCTGAGATACCTGCAGACAGACCTTCACTGAAATATGCATGCCCAATTTGAAGAAATGTCTCAGATACCTACATAAACAAGTTCAAAATTTTACAAACTTCTAAGAAAAATGCACGTGACCCATGTTATATAATCAATGAATCATTATACATAAAATTAAATTAAAAACACATAAAATATCACATTGATTATCACAAAATTTCGTCACCTACATACCATAAAAAACATTTTAAACACTTTACAAACATACTACTTGGAAGACCACAATGAGAATAGATACTATTTCCATGCTTTCAATGAAATATTTTCCAACTTGCATTAGAAATCTTTTGAGGAACTCAATGTGTTCACTCGTCTAAAATACACAAAATTTAAGCTTAGTACTTTGATTTTTTTCTAATTAAGTTTTTTCTAATTAAGTAAAAATGCAAATCTGGGGCGTAAATGTGTTCTATCGCGAAAAAATAACGTGAAAAAACTGTAGAATGGACGGGTAACACAAGTTGAGAAAGAAATGTTTGACTTCTCTGAGAAAAGCGAGGTGTTTTCTAGCACTCGCATCGTCACATAAGCCAAAACTCCTTCAGCTACAGTCATTGTCACGAACTTTTTTTAAAACTAGTCGCATTTGTCTAAATGTATACCTGGAATTACCTTAAACGACATATACGATATACGGTGTTAGAAAATTAAAAAAATTTCACCACTGCCGTTCGCCGAAACAACAGCCGCTGAGTCACAGGCTTCTTATGCTGTAGAAAATGTTCTTAAACATTGGGAAAGCGACAAAGGTATGTAAGTATTCGTTGGTTTTCACAAAATTAAAAAAAATCTCAGCATTCACACTTTGCAAACAATAAACACGAAACCCTTTGGTATTAACAGAAGAGCTTAATACATATTTTACCGTTTATGCAGTAAATATATCATTCACAAAAAACCTTAAAGTATTTACAGTAAAATGTCATTAAATTGTATTTATTTGGATATATGTAATTATGTATTTTATAGTAAAAAGTACCGTAAAGCCTCGAGAGGGGCACCCAAACGCACCTGCACAAAGGCGGCGGGTGCTCACGAGCGGGCGCGAGGTAGTTTCCGCCGGCGGGCGGCGTGACCGCAGCGGAAGTGGTCCGCGGCCGCGGGGGTGGGGGCGGGGGCGGCGTGGGTGCTGTAGCGGCTCGCGCACGCGACCGCCCTCGCCCGCCGCCCCGCGGGAAATCTCGGCCGGCGCGACGAGGCGCTGCGCAAAGCGAGCAACCCCTCCCGACGCGGCGTTCGGCTTCCACTGCGCTCGGGACCTACCGCACCGGGCGCTGCGGTAGCGCGCACGTGAGCTTCCGAACCAGGGGAAGTAGCGCGGCGAAACTGGAAGCCGTTATGGGCTATTCGGCGTAGGGTAGCGCGGAGGTGTAGCCGTTATGGGCTATTCGGCAGTAGAAGTAGGTCCAGTTCACCCGCTGTCTGGAGGAGAATTCTAGTGGCCGACTGCTCTGATCGGTAGTTTTCCGTCGTTTCTCCGGTTAACACCAGGCGATTGCATTACCCTAAGAAAAGGCCCACGAATAGCGCACGATCTTTCCTTCCTCTTCATTGTTCTATCCTCACCCCTTACTTAAACCCTACACTACCACACTTGGGAGACCACTCTGGAGCTTAGAGCTTGTCCCAACCGGGCCGGTGCCACATAGGTAAGCGGCACCTGGTTGGGGAAAACACCGAAAGCCGGCGGGCCGGTCAGCGCGGTATCTCGTCGTCCAGCAGGTGAATATTACTGCCTCTTCCCGCGATAAAATCATGTACTAAACTTACGGGACTAATGATCTTAGCAGTTGCCGCGCCCGGAATCATTAATCAATCAATCGGCGGTGGAACGTGGGCCCCCGCGGGCCGCCGAGTGGTGCTGAAACATGGCTTCGCAGGAAACGAATGTTACAACTACTTTTTCCTCATTAAAGTTACGTAAAACCTTTATTTCATTGTTCAGGAGAAGCTTTTATTCTCTTGGGATGTAAAAAAAACTTACTACTGATCATTTTGCTTTGCAGATAACACCATTTACACGTATGTCAGTTTGTAAATGCAATCTTTACACGACTCCTATCGTCGGCTCGAGATCTACCGTTTTCGCTCGTGAGTTAATTTATTTATTAACGCCAACTGGTTGGCCATTGAGGAACGAAGGGGACGAAAAGCACAAGTCCCAGAGACCGCAGCCCGCGCGCTGGATTTCCACCCCTTGTGTACGAGGAGTTGTCCTAACTTCTCTCTGTTATGAGGAATATCTGCGCAATCTGGTACCCGCACTGTAGCGTATTTATATTACGACAAACGAAAATGAAATCTTGAAAAGCACTACTCGCGATTGCCCCAAATTTAACAATTGTTATTAAGATGTCGAACAAACGCAGCTCAAATTTATTGGTCAAAATATACTTTTAAGTGCCAACTTTTTCTAAACTTCTAATATCTTACAATTAATTCCAGTTTTGAATAATATTAAATTATAGCAAATTCAGAAAAGGTTTAAAGATTATTTTTTTCCTTTTCCCGGTTCAACTACCATAATTTTCATAACTAAACACCATCTAAATCATACCATAGTAAGGTAACTAACTACCTGAATCCACATGTTTAAACCGGAGGAACGGCTTTGTGAAGTGTCATCGGTGCGCCAACCAAGGACGTGTGTGCTTGTGGTGTTGCAGAGCAGCAGCGAGGTCGGCGCGTCGTCGTCGGACGAGGAGGTGGAGGAGGAGGAGGGCGAGGCGGCGCGCCAGGGCGAGCGCGAGCAGGGCGGAGGGCGGCGAGGGCGGCTGAGGGCGAGGAGGGCGGCGGGCCGCGGGCCGTGGGCGGGCGCGGGGCGCTGGTGGTCCCCGCGTCGCTGCTGCGCGCCCCGCCTCGCCGAAGCTGCGCCAGCTTTGCGCTGCGGCGCCGCGCCGAGTCCCGCGCGCGAGAGCGACCCCGACCCGCGCCCGAACGCGAACAGCCACGACCGCCCAAGCGACGACCCCGACGACCTTCGAGGGATACGAAGGTGAGCGCAGCGGCACGCCGCCTTACTACTTTATGACTTTTTCGCGTCATCCCCCCTTCAATTTCACGATTAAAAAAAATCGCCGTTATATGCGAAAAAGGGTAACCAATTAGCGTTTCATTTAGCTGTATTTTTTTTCTATATTTATAAGAAAAATGATTATTTTAAGTGGTATATATTTTTAGTTTTAAAATAGGTAAGTTTAAAACATAAAGTATTAATAAATGACAATAGCGTTTATTATTCTTTTATTTTGAAAATATTTTATACTATCGTAAATGAATACTACTTTTTATATTCATATTTACTTTGTAATGATACATAGCACCGTCACCAAGGAAATCACCTTCGGTTTCAATACCTGGAACAGTATTTTCGAGCCACTTCACGAACTGATGTGAAACTTCGTGGCAAGATTCTTTAGCTCTACTTGCAAACATTAACAATCTTCACAATAACGACTTGGGTACACTAAGGAGATTCGGTTGTCCGCGTCGCCACGAGCCCTTGCCGATAACCTCTTATCTTCGCTACACAATCAAGTGGGCCGGATCGACTTTAGGAGGATAACGGGACGATGACATTACTTACAATTTCCACGGATTGTAGAAACAGAATTTCGTCGACGTTGGCCGGCGATTCACCCCCGAAACCTTTTCCAGTGATACATTTGCCCCTACCGCGAACGATTAGCGTTCATAAATACCACAGGCTATGTTTTAGCTATAATTTGTTATTTAGAGTGAAAATATCGTGATTAAAAAACCTAGAAAAACTTTGTCCGGAACATTCTCGAAACAATAAATGAAAATCGTGAAGTACCAAGAATTCAATTCGACAAAAAAACTCGAATATCGCCAGTAATTTAGGTTTTTTTTGGGCATTTATTGTTAAACAATAAACCTATGCTTCTACCCATGTGGCTCGCTGCCAGGGATGCGCAGTCCAACTGGGTACCATGGGATAAGTGGAGGGGATCCCCCGTTTCTACACCATTATCTATTTGACTCGCGGACCAAACTAATTAATTTGAGCCATGGACAGAAACGGGGCACGACCATTTTCCCTTTCTTACGACTTGTTTTAAGAGCGTCGCGCTTTATTATGCTAAGATTATCAATCCCTCTAAGAACTCGCAAGAATAAAACCATAGAGTTCCTATTAAGGCGGACACACATACGGCAAAACAAAGTTGGGACTTGCATGAAAGAACTGTTTCAGAAGTGTTACCTACGAAGGAAACGGCAAGAAAAAAATAATTAAAACCAACCACGGAAAATGCCTTCTCTTTCTGTTTAAAACATGAAACAATACATTTCTAGTTTTTTGTCATAAATTATTTTATTTATCAGACTTTCATACATAAAATAATGTTCTCACATCGGATTCGGTACGGTGGGTATTCATTTCATGCTTTTAACCAGCGTGTTTTTCAAAAGAAATCTTCTATTTTAGAAGGAATTTTTCGTTTTACGTAGATTTTACTTGAGTTTTAAAAATCGCTAAACGTTTCAGGATCTCGTTCCATAATTAACCCAATACATCTACCCAGTAGGGTCTCCACACTTATTTGGTATAACGACCATCTAACGCAGCAGTTAACCTGAACAGATATTTCTACTTGTGAAGTAGATTACATTTCTATTTGGATGTGCACCAGCGCTCTCCATCCCCCCTCTGCCCCTACTATAACCGTTAAGACAGTTGTGACAGAAAACAAACCCCCACCGCCCGCCCAACATACAGCGCTGCGTTGGTGGTTGCGTCAGGCGCTTCGCCGAGCTTGCGCAGGCGCTGGCGGCCGAGCGGCGGGCCGACTCGAGCCGAGCTCCGCCTCCGCCGCCACGCTCGGCGCCCAGGAGGCGCCGCCGCCCGCGCCGCCCGCCCGCGCTGGCCGCCGGCGAGGGCCGCCCCGCTGCCCGCAAGCAGCGCGCCGCTGCCCCGCGTGGGCCGATGGCCGCCGCCGCCGTGCGCCGGCCGCGGCCGCCGCGGCGCCTCCCCGCACCCGCCACGCACGGCGGCAAGTACGCACCTCACAGGCTTCGACACATGCGCCTTGAAGAAACAGTATTAAAGCCGACGAACACGTTGAACCGGGTTAGGTGGCTCAGGGCATCGAATAATGCCACTGCTGTGTCTCTCACTGGGAGATCCTAGGGTTCGGGTCCCGGCGGTGGCAGGATTTTCGACACTAGCTAGGTCGAGTTCAGCCGCTGCCTGGAGGAGAATTCTAGCGGCCGGTTGCTCTGATTGGTTTTTTTGTAGTTTCTCCGATCAATGCCAGGAGAATGACGAAGGAATACCCTAACAAACGGGCCACAAACCGCTCGCAATCTTTCCTTCCTCTACCTGGCTACATCCTCACTCCCTACACTTACATTTATTACACTAGCACACTTGTCGGGAGAACCAGGCGGGAGCTAAAAGAGCTTGAACCAGCTGGGGCGGCGGGAGATATCTGGTTGGGGAAAACTCCGCTAAGCGACGGCGTCTGACCTCACCGTTCAGCAAGGGAAGATCACCAACACGTCCCGCGATAAACATGCGCTACACTTACGGGACTAAAGAAATTAGCTGTTGAAGCGCCCGCAAACACTATTCAAGCAATCAAACGACAAGTTGGTCGGAGAACGAGTTACTATGGTCTCCGACGTTATTGAGAAGTTGATCTGTAAGCAAGGACAAGCTGCGTGAATAATTTGAGAAATAATTTATAAACCTCGTGCTGCAGCAGCCTTAAAGTTTTAAGAAGGTTCCCGACAGACTTAGTTTTGTCATATAAATATCAGCAAAAAATTAACAAACGAGATCACTTTTAAATTAAATCCCCCTCTGAGAACTTCAGTGGTTACTCGTCCAGCTCTTAAAGCATCGATGTTTAACAACATCGATGGTTTTGGTTCGATGTTTTAATTTCGAGCATCAATGTTTGGAGACCTCGATGTCGCACGGCTAATGTGACGAGCCGCCTACCGCAGCCCGTGGCTCCCCCTAAAGGCAGCGCCGCGTTTGCGCAGGTGCGCGAGATGGCGACGCACTTCGAGGCGGTGGGCAGCAGCAGCAGCAGCGGGAGCGGTGGCGGCGGTGGCGGCGCGGCGGGCGCGCGGCGCTCCGACGAGCTGGGCGCGCTGCTGGCGCAGCTGGCCGAGCTGACGGCGGCGCCGCTGGCGCCCGCCCGCGCGCACGCCCACGCCCTCGCCCTCGAAGAGGACGAGCGCGAGAGGGAGCGAGAGCGGGAGCGGGAGCGGGAGTGCGAGCGCGGGCGGCGGCACCACCGCAGGACGAACTCGGACCCCGACTACGACATCCCCCGCGCCCACGGCCCCGCGCTGGCCCTGGCCGCGCTCGCGCCCTCCGCCGCCATCGACGCCAGCCCGTTCCTCGGCGGCGCGCCCGCCTTCGCGCACCACCACCACCACCACCATCACCACCATCACCGCGCCTTCGCCCACGGCCCCGAGCCCGGCCCTGGGTGAGTAGCTGCACCGACGGTGTCTTTACTCGGGAGTTTACAGACCAGAAACGAATACTTATTTATGCATCAAGGGCGTTATGTGTTCTAATGATTTCGGGCGACTCGGGCCAAAGCCCCTCGGGTATTTAGTCGCTGCGCGATCATTAGAACCAACACCCATGGTATCTACTTAGTTTTATTTTTTACCTAATTTCATTTCTTCAGATTAACTTATTTACTAATTATCTAGATGTCAAATTACTCGGTTTGTCTTTTCACATATCCCTCTAAGAGACATCATTCAACTGCTATCATATTTCCCTCGTAACCACGATCCTTTAATCCAGAAATTATGACATTGTAGTATAAGTATTTATAAATATGTAAACAGTGGTTATGCAGTGTATATCGAACTCCGTAGAGTAGGCAATAACAAGCTATAACGTGTCAGTAAAAAATAAACACTTTATTGTGAGAATTGGGGGCCCTACGGATTCAGCCCGCGCAGATTTGAATTCTTTATGCCCGCTACCAATGCACGAAAAACACTCATTTTTTATGAATTCGATTCATTAGAATTAAACACAATAAATACATGGACGATACAGGGCTTAAAATAAAGTAACTCGACCAACTTCGCTACGCTTGGCCAAGTTGAGAACGAGGCTTGGGCCTTCGGCCCTCGCGATAACGTAAAACATCCTAGAGTCTCTCCAACGCAAAATTACCAGCGCATTTTATGCGAATACTCACTTTTAAACCATTTGGCGTGTATACGTCCTTTATGTTCTCCACATATACTTGCATAAATCCTCTCAAGATCGGTTGTGATTAGGTTTTCCAAAAGTAGGTATTTTATAATTTGTTTAAGTTAATTAGCATGTTCCCACACCATTTGTAGATTGATTTTTTTGAAATTTATATTTTCCATTTTGGGTTAAGGGTGACGTGAGAAATGGTGCTATGTATTTAGCCATGGTCTATTTTTGTTATTAAGAAATAAATAACTAAATAAACAAGAAAAAGGAACTTTACCTTAATGAAATATTCAGAAACGTATCATCTCGCTCTGCCCGCTGTTAAAACGGCGCCAACACAAACGTTATTAGCACGGATTTACTCAGAATAAACAGGGAAATAAACGACTAACGCGATCTCAGTTGTAATAACGTGATGTAATGGAAGACTAATTTGTTCCATGATAGTATCAGAGAATAAGGAAAGAGAGGGAGTTGTGTATCCTTCTATTCATCCATGATGGGACCTTAATTCCATTCCCACTTCATTTTACCACCGAGAACTCTCACAAAATATATACTTATTGTGAAGATATTACCTCACAATAATTATCAGTTGTACAAAGTTTGACGATATTTTTTGTTTTGTTTTCAATTCTTCTTCTAGTTGCAAGAATGTTTTTCTTTTTTCACAGCAAAATAAGTTCCAAGCAGATTTTATTTCCAAAAGAAAAAAAACAAAAAACTATTTTAGTCTACAAAGTCTTTGTTTATTCAAAAAATGTTTCATGAATATAAATATTAATAAATATAATAATAAAATGTATAAATGCATTAGTAAACATGCTTGACACTAATTATACATAAAATTACATAAAATTTGATAAAATATTTAATTTACAAGGCTGTCAATTATATTATGAGCAATGTTTTTAATCTTATGTTATCTTCTTTGAGTCCTATTCATTTTATGTTTTTTTTTGTCTTGATATTCTCATTCTGTAGTCTTCTGCAATTTTGAATAGTTTGAAAGCTACTCTTTGTGATGAAAAGATCAGGAGAAGATAGTGCTAATCCTTTATTGTTCTGTGGTGCTAACCCTCCTTTCAAAAACCCAAAATGTCTTGGTATGACTAGAAAAAACATGCATAATGATCCAAATGCTTTACAAATGTAATCGTAGAACTACAATATGTGTATGGAAAGCAGCAAGAAGTGTGAACAATACTTTCATTTTCCTCTGGCTGACGAATATTATAGAAATGAGGGCTAACACAATTTTGCCCAAACCCCTTCCATTCATCTTCTAATTTTGTCAGCATCACCTGATCATCGTCTGTATAAAAAGTAAATGTTTATTAAAGGGCTGTCCTTAAATTATGTAATGCAAGTTTGGAGTATTTTCAATACATCCTTGCACACTTGACACCCCCCCTCCCTAAATAATTACGTAATGTTTGCAACAACCCCTCCCACCCCTTGTAAATGCAAGAAGTGAAAATAAATTATAGCAGAATAAAAACTCTTTATATTTACTTTACTTGTGTTGTATATTAAAGTAATTAATTATAATTAAAGTAGAAATTAGTTGGCGATGCTGACTGCAGTTAACAATAAGTTTGGGGCAAGTTGTGGGTGAAGGAAGAATGATTGGGGGAAAAATGGTTAACAAATTATGCACACACCGACATTGATCATGCAAGAGCAGAGTAAACAGAGCCAATTTAAATGGATTCTAGAATATACTTCATATCAGTTTTGAATATATTCTTCATAATCTTACAGACAAACACAAATGTTGAAAAATATTTCCATTTATTGTAACAATTTACTATTCATTTTATATTTTTAAAACAAATTAATTAGTTAATATATGTTTTGGTACAGGACTAAAAAAAGAAATTATTTCATCAAATGTTGAAAAATGTAAAAATCAAAGTTAACTAATCCCCCCCCTTTCCTTTTGAAACACAGCATAATGCTGCCTCAGACCCCCTGTCGGCCTCTTTAGCGTTACATAATTTATGGACAACCCCTAAGCTCTAGGTTTGAGGCTTATAGCACCATTCCCCTTGGTCTTTTCTTAAGCATGTGGTTTAGATACATATTGAATTGCAAATGTGATAATGTGCAGCCTTGTAGGAGTCCTTTTGATGAGATTACATGTAATATGACTTAGATTGTGATTTTGAGTTCTCAATTTCTTTATCAAATATCCATCTACACTTTTTCAAAATCCACAAATAATAAGTTTATTGGAAGTTTTTGTTCACATCTTGCTTTGATTGTCAGGTCCAAGATGAAAATTGCATAAATTGTTCCCCCTCCTTTCAATAAGCCACTTTTAAAATGTTTTCATTGTACTCCTTGGGTCTGTTTTTTCAGAATACTCGCATATATTTTGTATCTTGATACTCGCATCATAATAATTAACCTAAGTTCTCACATTCTGTTTGTGGACCTTCCATTGCCTTTCTAATCTGACTCTTGAGATTGTTAATTTTGTTCATAGTTCATTCAATATTTCCTGTACTCGTATTTTCCCCTCCAAATGCTTTCTTCAATATTTCAACAAAACTGTAAGCACCTGGACCAAGGCTTTTTCTGCTTCTCACAACTCTATTAGCTTTGCTTCATTTTTTCACTGAGATGTCCTTTAGTTACTGTTCATTTGTGTTTCCTAGTCTCTCATTTGTTTCTGAGCTTTGATCTTCTTTCTGTTAAAATCACTGGTCTATTGCCCATTCCTGCAATAATTTTGGTATGAAGTACTTTTTTTCTTTCTCCATTTATAATTTCTGTTGTATTGTAAGCCTTAGTCTTTGGGTACCTGTTATATTCCTTTCTAGGTTTTGGAAAACTTCTTCCAGTCATCCCATCTCCTTTTTTGGGATACCCTTTTCCTCCCTATCCTTTCTTAAGGCACCATATTTAAATCTCATGACCATGGCAATTTCATTTAAGAAGCAGATTCATATCTATTTTCTCCAAATAATAAGTAAACCATCAGAGAGAAAATTATTAGAACCTTTTTGATAGACTTATATTTTGATTCATAGAAACTGAAGTGGTTAGACGTAAGAGCGGGTCTGATGGCCCGAGACTCGCCATATTATTATATATTATTATAACTGAAAACATATTTATTATTTCTCTTTACATCTATGTCACCCCTAAAATCAAAAATAAGTGTAAATTAAGGAATTTTTAATGCCAAAAGTTGGGGAAAATTCCTGTTCCCCCTTTACTGACCAGGTTTTTCAGGCAGTTAAAGAAGCATTACAAGCCGAGTTTGTGAAACATAATTTATGATTAGAGGACAGTTGCTATTACAACACCTGCTTAGTTAAGATTCCAGAATACAAATGGCTCGTAATAGATTTATGCATACTGATTTGGTGGAGATGTTAACCCTACAGTGCATGAATTATTGAATAAAAGTGAACATTTTTCTCGTTGTTAAAAAAATGTTCAGAATGAGGGAAAAGTATTTTGCAAATTTGGTCGATTATATAATGGTTTTAATTATTTGTGCCAAATGGCAATGTTATGCAATCATACATTGAACTGTTGATGCATCATAATAAAAAATGCTGTTACATATAAAAATGCCAATACAAACTACATTATAAACTAATTATTTGCAGGACAAACAAAAACTAGATTAACCGTGAAATTAACGAATACTAATAACCTAATACATGTGTATTTGTGAGAGATCAATATGTGCCTACATGTCAGTATACATTGTTCATATTATATTTCACGAAATAATTGTTCCTATTGTTTAGGTACTAATTAAAAGAACACTTTGAGTATTGCATTTTTGGGAAGCCAACTTCTAGTTATCTAACGACAGCTGTTAGGAAACTACAGAGAGAATGATAACGTCCTTCAAACAAAGTCCTATTTGAATGCATTGTGTGATCAATGTGAGACATTAATTGCTTTTCATAATACTGTGTATAACAAAATAATTCAACAGCACTGCTTAATTTGTAACTTAGTGCAAACGAATAGAGGAAAGAAAAAACATATCTGATGTCCGATTGAGATTTAACAGCCTGCTCTCTGTTAAGAACAATTAAACAAACAAATGGTAGTTAAAGATTGTGTATGAGTAGACTTATTATTCCAGAAATTAAAATTTGTAATTTTGTTTATGCAAATTTTTTTTATGAGAACATGGTATTATGAATATTATTGCAGGACACATCCGATAACACATACAACAAACACAGTTGGTTATAAATCTTGGCTATCACAGCAGTTAATGAACTTGAACCACATCTGTTTTTACCATTTTATTGGCCTAATGACAAAATAGGTATTTTAATTTTCTTTATTACACAAGGGCCACTGCTTGAGAGCATTGTGTGAGGGAAGCACTGTAGGATTGGGTGAATAAGTAGGGGAAAAGGAATTTGGAATGCATGAAGTAAAGCAAGAGACAATTTCATCAAGAGACATTTTGTAGCCTCAGGGTAACCAGGATCTATCTGACTGCACAAATTTCACAGGAGAGTTTTTCAAATTTCAGAGGTTTCTCATTAACATGAGTGGAACTAAAATTCTGATTTTAATAACTGTTTTAATAGGTAGTAGACATTAGAATAGAGAATTTGTACATGTTCAAACAATTTATGCCAGATAAAACCTAGTCACTCTCAGGCCAGGATAAAATTCAAAAAAACTTTCAGATTCATAATTCTTAGAATATATTTCAATATTCTTAATGCATATTCACTTTTTGTATGTCACATATTAGAAATGAAATATTAGTGAATATACACACAGATTCTATCAAGAAACAGAAATATAATTTACATTACATATAAAATTATTATTGTTACTGTTAAAACAATAATTGTTTTTATAAAAATCTAACTTTTTTACCTCTAGCATTTAGTTTCTCTGAAGTTACAGTTTGTAAAAATGTATCTTTTATGAACAGGCCTGATGACTCTACAGATGATGGTGAACTCAGCTGGACAGGCCTGAGTATGGCTCCTGACTCCTTGGAGCCAATTCCTGTACGTTTGTTGGATGCCACTGGCTGATACCTGGACCCATAAGGGGGCCAAATTACAGTTACCATCACCGTCACTTCCACCACGTCAACCAATCAAGGATGAACAAGCAATAGCGCTCCTCAATGCTTGCCCTTGCCCTTGCCTTTGCCCTTGTGCTTTCCTTTGCGCCCTTTGCCTCCGCCGCCCTTTCCTTTGAATCGCTTGCGCACACCTGAGGCTCCTTCTGTATCATCCTCATCATCCAGGCCTCCCACTCCACCGCGTTTGCGCTTGCCTGCCTTCCGATCTTCAATGTCTTTTACCTCCTGTAAGAAGATAAATGTAAGAAGAAATTCAGATATCAAAAAGCAATGGAAAAATGGAAAGAAATCTGCAGAGAAGAGATGGTGTCAAAAAACAAATAAACTCTTAATTTAAAAAAATACTAGTGGTTAGTTTTAGAATAACAAACAATTTTCAAATTTAAGATAATAGACTATACTACAGATCAGATACAAATATCAATGGCAGATAAAATTACTGAAGAAATAAGACTAAAGAAAGTAAAGAGAGAAATTATGTTTACATATGTACATACCCATCTTTTCTCATTTACATACAAAATATAAACTACACAGTTTTGAAATGCCAGTAAGTCTTAAAAATATTATGCACTTTAATTGGCTGTCCATGTGGTACTTTGGTTCAACAATTACTGGTGTGAGTACACACTTTGGATACCCTTCAAGACGATTACTTTTAAAGCTAGTAAGACAGCATTTAAACTTGACAGCCAATTTCTTTAAGACTGCAATGAGTTCCCCATATTTTGCTTAGGTATAAAGTTTCTAAAAACAAAAACAACAAAAGGGTATCTGCACAGCACTCAATCTTTTACCATTTAAGAAATATAAGTAAGAGTAATGTTTCAGAGAGTTGACACAGTCACAGGCAATTTTACTGCAAGTTGAATGTGGAAGTGGTAATTTCCTGAGAGGTTTTGTTACACATCCATTCGGAAAAAAAGATGACAATATTGGCTTCCACAGAAGAAGCTGCTAACCTTTCAGACTATCCTTGTATAAAAAATGTATAGTGGAAATAGTTTTGTATATAAAAGTAAACCATTATGTGGAGATGGTTCTAATCATTATTGATAAATGTTAATTGTATGTACACAATTATTTGAAGAATGTAAGGATATCATGTACACTTTAGAGCACCAAATATAATCAATACATTCAATTTTTTTTCCCTTCTCATTTCAACAACAAAGTTTTAATGCACTGAAATGCAGAATGAGTACAGACATCTTGACTTACATTCTATTGCATTGCAAATTCAAGTAAATGAAAATGATTTAATAAATAAGGAAACAAAACCTAAAGTGTATATTCATTGCCATATTTATGACCCATAATAACACCTGGCACTATATTCCACACAAATCCCAATTGTCCTTTGCTTCAACATGATATCCCTCATTGAAAATATCAGTATAAATAAATCAAATAGATTTTCTGGTTCTTTTGTACCTTATAGAACCTTTTATTTTAAATACATTTTTGGGCCTTTTTCCTTGGGCTGACATTAATGGCTGTTCATCTAAAACATGCCATTGCTTACAAGGGCACATATAATGCTTTGCATCTCTCAATATATCTTTAATACCAAACAGCAGTCACCTACATCATTATTTTGTTTCAATTCATTACAATTAAAATAAAAAGTACTAACAGGGCCCGGCAGATGTTGTCCTACTCTCTGTCCCTCCTCCCTCCTATCTCTTTATGTCTTTCTCTCTCATGCACATGTGTACCTATGATCCTCAGGCATGCCCTGCTTCTAATGGCAACACCGAGCAACAATGAAGCCTAGGTGGAGCTCAGTTTTAACGGAAATTGAATGAATATGAAGCGTCATAATATGCTGAAGTGACATCTAGTGGAATTACAACAAAATGAACAGCATAAAAACCTTCACTGCGTTCATAGGAATCGGTCACATGGTGTTGCAGTTCACCACTCTGGATATACCAACATCTATAGTTCATATATAAGTATGTTTTCCAACATGGAGATTTTACGTCTCTGACACTTTTATAAACTCATAAGGGTTTTATCAAAGTTTAACATATAAAAAGATCAGGGTACTTTTTGACATACTTTCATGTTATTTACATTCCACCAATTCACTCATTAAAATCTATGCTGAATACTTTGTCCTAATTTATCATACATAGGTAGTATTTCTTTGAGCATAACTGGTACTGTATACAAGGCTGAACACATTAATGCTTTTCTTTCTCTCATTATACTATTTTTATTGCATAGCTATTTCTCCAATTGTTGGCTACAATGACAGGTAAGGAGACCATTGGTGGATCTGAGTCTATTTAAAATGTCAATATGCAAGGACATACGTTTGTAGATTTTCCCAATGTCTTTTTATAAATAATTTTTAATCTGCAGGAATTTGATGAAATTAAATAGCTATGTCACTAATTGTATCTTAGAACTTCCAAGTTACTTTTAACACTGCAAGTCATTTCTGTCTTATACACTCATAATTTGAATATCAACACGATTTTAACACTGTTTAATAAGCAGTAAATTACTATTTACCTGTCGTGCTGTGCGCTGAGCTTCACCAACTCTCTCTTGCAGCATCATTACTTCAGATTCCTCTGTGGGGAACAGAGGCAACTGCTTTCCCAGAAGGTGCTCTATGCGTTGATACAATTCTACATCATACTGTAACACCACACTCAACTTTAATGTTCAAAACCGACAAAAAAGAACTGTAATGAACTAGAGCAAATTAATATAGTAACATATGTAGTTACTAAGTGAACTACAAGTACATTCATACTCAAATTTACATTCAATAGATTGCAATACATTCATAGTCAAATTTAGAATCAAACCTAGGGAGGAATAAAAAAATAAAGAAAAAAAAGAAGACAAGAGGTATATAATCAAAAGAAAGGTGGAACGTACCTGAGTAACAAATGTGATAGCTTTTCCAGATCTGCCAGCACGAGCTGTTCTGCCAACTCTATGAATATAATCTTTGCTATGTGTTGGAATGTCAAAGTTGATTACAATATCTACGTGTGGAATATCAAGACCACGACTGGCTACATCAGTAGATATTAGTATGGATCGAGTTTTCGCACGGAATTTTGTAAGCGCCGCCAGACGTTTGTTCTGTGACATCTGCCCATGCAGAGGGACAGCCATTAAACCAAGAGCACGGAGCATGAGGGCCATTCGAAGTGTACCAGCACAAGTACTGCAGAACACCATGAATGAATTTCCAGCCATTTCATTTAGTAAGTGCACTAGATACACATCCTGAAAAACAGATAAAAATGTGTATCTCTCTTTAAAAATAAGAATGTAATTTGAAATCTAAACACAAAGATAAAGGTATGTTGTCAGTAACAAAATACAATCGACTCCAGTTATGGCAAACTTCTGGAGACTAACCTTTTTGGTTCACTATATCCGATAATGTCAAAATTAAACAGAATTTCTTCACAACGATTGATTTTATTAATATAGAGATACCGCAAAATACAATAACAGCACAAATTGAACATGCCTTAATTTTTTTTTATCCTCCAAAAATCAATTATTTTCAATTGTTTGCTTCGTACATTTTTCATTAGTAATTTTTCTCTAGATCCTTCTGCAGAGTTTGTGCTCTCTTCTTATTTGATTCTTCACTGTCCACTGTTTTTAAGTAATGTAATACAGTCTTGACACCCTTCAATTCCTCTTGCACCATTGGGACACTGTCCTACTCTCCAAATGTCCTTTTTCTTGCTTAATAACACACAAGATGTTTTTGGTAGCGCGATGGCACAGGCACCTAATGAAACTGCTTGCCTTTCTCAGGGCAGTACAGCAGAGTTGCGTGCTTCCTGTCGCGTATGTAGAACTCCATGTCCTTTGTCATGCAGGATGTCAAGTAACACCAAGCTTGAAACTGAAGCAAGCAGTCATGCTTCACCGCCACTAGTTTTAGCCCACGCAGGACACAGTTTTTGTTTCCTCAGTGAAACGGTGCGGCACAAGGACATCAGTGAGGTCCCCCATTTTGGATCCGCTACCTTTATCTCTGGGGAGACTTCTTCGATTCTGGCCTTTGACCGATGATATTTTTCTCAAGCTGCCTAGTGTTGGAATTTGTGATAATGAGGTGATATATTTATTTCCAGAACATTGTATTAGATACATTCAATATAGTTAAGGTTCAGGTTCGCAACAAATGAATCTTCTTATGCTTATTTGTAATGTAAATGAAAAGCGACCAGTCTTTTCCCACTATAACCCAGGGCTCACTATGTCTGTGTTCACTGTAAATGGAGTCGACTGTACTTATTACATGGTATGATCTTAAAATTAAAATTCTGATGAAAAAAACAACAACATACATTATGCCTACAAAAGCCATTTCAAGAAATCTTTATAATTACCGCATAATAAAAATTATACATTAATTCCAACATTCTCACAATGAAACATATGTTAAAGTTGTGATCTTTTAAGTCATTCAGCTTTTATAAATAAATCTTATTTTCTGGTGTATTCAGATATACGTACACTTTGTATCTTATTACCTTAAATTTGACGGGAATGAAAAGATAATATTGCTGCAATTTGTCAACAGTCTGAAACTTGCCAGACACCTCCACTTTTACAGGGTCCTGCAAGGAGGCCCGCTGAAGCTTCTGAACTTTTTTTGTCATGGTCGCTGAGAAGAGGAAGGTTCGTCGCTCACGAGGAATCACTTTCAAAATTTTGTCCACTTCTTGCTCGAAATCCATATTTAGAATTCGGTCAGCCTCATCCATTACCTACATGAAACATTATATATAATTTCTAATCTTACAGCGACTCAGTGAAATTCATCAAGATAAATATTGCATAATTGATACATTATATAATCCAACATAATTACTACTGAATTATAGTCCATTCTTAAAATAATGAGTAACTGGTTAAAGAAATGCAATGTAACAAATTTGCTCATGTATTCTATAAAGTGTTTCAATTTGATGAAAAAATTAATTCATTAAAACTTTCTTTCAATATAAATAAAACTACTATTATATAACGGGTTGGATAAGTTATTCACGTTTCTTCTGTAAAAAAAATTAAAAAACAAAATAATTCAGCTCACAACTGGACGTAATTAAGGTACAACCTAGTAGGTGTGATCAAATGAATATTGCCTCAATTACACCACAAACATTACTCTCCTAAAAATTAAGTCCACAACAGCACTATAAAAAAAATCTCTTTAATAATCCTTTATTTTGTAGCTGAAACAATTGCAAGAACAAAAGACATTCTTGGATCTGATTTTCTGTGTAAGGGAAATGTATTTATAAAAATTAGTATTAATAAAAATGTCAACACATAATTTCCAAAGAAAACTGCAATATAAGATCAGAAGAAAGTTAAACCAAAACTTGATTTTTTATATCTACACAAAAGAAAATAATGCTTCTAATATTAACAAAACTATAAATGTTGAATTTAATTATTCATAACATAACTTATAAACTTGTAATGAATCTACTCCAAAGCATAATAAAATAAGAATGAAAAGCTAGTGCTAACTAAAAACTTGCTAGTTACTAACCAAAAACTTTAAGGCTTTCAGATTGAAGCCTTTTGTGTTCTCTAAGTGGTCAACAAGGCGACCTGGTGTGGCAATGATAATGTGAGGCTTTTTGGCCAACATCAAAGACTGGGACATCATATCCATGCCTCCTACAATCACAACACTCTTCACACCTATAGATGATCCTAGAGCACAGAAGACATGACAATTTCTTGAAAACCTTCAGAACAAACAAAAGATTCTTAATCTACAGACAGAATACTCTTAAATACGCATTAAAATGATCACAATTCAAAACCTCTGAAAAAGTTTTATACAATCAAAAAGGTTTAAAAATGCAGCTTGGTATCAGATTACAACAAATAGTAAAACCGTTCTACCTCACAGGACGTAAATTTAATGTGTTATCTTGCATGGAAATTAAAGAAAGCAGGAATGTAAGTTAACTTGGCACGAACATCAATCAAAATATTGTGTATTTGGCAATTAAAATACTACCTACAGTAAAAATTAAGTATATTACTGAAGATACTGAACAAACATGCCCAAAAACTTATGCTGTCATAAAGAAAAAAATATCAACGAAACAAAGCTTAACACACGGAATGTCAGCAAGGCAGGAAAAAAAAGACGTAAATAATTGGGGTATCATAGAAACTGCCCTCCTGCTGGCATTAATAAATCAATAACAAACTGCTGAATGTACAGATTACAAACACTTTCAATCAACTAAGATGGTGTTTTATGTTTCCGAGGTATTCTGTGGATTGGTTAAACAATAAAACTTGCTCAAAGTGGAACATGTGTAATGAGGAAATTTGTCTAATGTGAACATGGTCCTGCCATTCATGTATTCCAAACAATTACTTTGCATAATTTTATCTAATATAGCAAAAATATGGACCCTTGACAACCTGCATTGGGTAAGTTTTCTTCTTCCTTCTTAAACCTGCTGGGTATATGCACATTAATAGTAGCAAGAGCACAACTGTGATCAGGTAAATCAAGAAATACATTTTTGACATAAGCGCAGCTGTGAGTGACAATAGAGAAATGTAGAAGTTTTAATAAAATAAGGGCTAGAGTCTAGAACACAGTACAACTTACGGAAGTCGTTTAAACCGGCTTTTCATGTAGCTCCGGCGAGGGAGGAAATCCACAGTGCAGGGGACTAGGGGTGTTTAGGAGATTATGAGGGGAATTTCTTGGTGGAAAGGGGTGGGGAGTAATATGCATAACTTAGTACTTATGTATATAAAACAAAGAATGGTCAATTTAAATAAATTAAAACACTTCTGAAACAATTTTAATGGTTTGTAATTGGTCACGAACGTGACATCAAAAGGTTGGGGGCAAGGGTAATTTTACCATAGTATTTTGACAGAGCTTCATTACAAAATTGTGTGTGGTGGAGTTTGCCTATGTAATTTTGTGTGCTAGGGTTGTCAAAGTGGTTAGCTTCGTTGCTGTCATACAGTTATGTTTCTTGCGTTCTTCTGATTCTTTGTGATTTGTGTTTTTGAGTGTCTGTGCTACAATTGTGAGAATAAATGTGGTTATACTTACATGTTGTTCGAAGGGGGTGTTTGGCTGTAATTGAATGGGTGCAAGAACATAATATGATTGCAGCAGGATTTGTGTCCTGTGTGTAAGTGTCCGATGAGGTTGGCCAAGCAAAAAGGAGTTGTGTGATAGTTTTGAGTGGAAGTGCAACAAGAAAGAGGCCACTTCTCACGTGCGCAAGTTTTCAGTGTAGCGGGGGTCATAGTTCACGGGAAGCAAGTTGAGTAGGATTCAAATATTAGTACTGACATATCTTGGTATGACCAAAGTACCACTTATTGGTAAGTTTTATTCATTTCTATCAGAGCACTTAGCGTAATTTGAGGGAGGGCTTAAGGAGACTCTCCCCCGCTGGAACCCTGCTCCTCTAAGGGTGTACAGTGTACCCTATTTTAGCCAAAATAAATAAAAATTAGGACCTCTCCTTATTTGACTCCCCCTCCTTCTCTGGAAAGTTTTCAGGCAGAGTGATATTACTGAGCTCTTTCACGCACTACAGTAAAGTTTTTTAAAAAGATGCTCGCACTATAATACTTCAATATATGCTGAAAATTAAGAACTTACCAAGTGCTTCAAATTGTTCTGATATTTGAAAAGCCAACTCTCTTGTGGGTGTCAAAACCAGAGCAAAATACCGCTGAGGATTTGCCAACAAAGACTGAAGAATAGGCAACGCAAAAGCAGCTGTTTTTCCGGAGCCAGTTTCAGCCAGTCCTATTACATCCCGACCTGCAATAGACAACATTTAGTCTTTAATACATTTCATGAGCCACAGACATAAGTTTATTGGAAGTATCAGTTGAATCATTAAGTACAACTCAATTAGTGACATTTAAAATATTGAATGTTTATTTGTTCTTCCAATCCCAGTATTATTTATGTTCTTACGAACTGGTATTAAAAAGAAATGAGGATCAATCACTTATTGAAAAACATCAAAATTATATTTCTCTTTAACCAATTTTTATGAATAATTCAAATTTGTATTAATTTGCATTGATTTATCTAGTTCTTACTACCAATTGGAAAATATTATTATTAAGTTGAAACCGAATGGTTGAGATTCACAAATACTGACTATACAAAGGACACAAGCAATATCTAATTATTTAAATAAAAACATTTAATAATTAAATTAGTTCAAAGATTTGTAGCCCCAACTAGGATATGAACCCGAGCCTTGTGGTTTACGCTGAGCTGCTCTAACCACTGAACTAATCAACCAATCTAATATTAAAATGTTAAATGTAACCAAAATTAAAATGCATTATTACTCAGTAACATGGTCACAATTTACATTTTTTTACGACTGCAGAATATATTCTCCAAGCATAATTGCATCCAACAAGGTGACGGGAATGATGATCTTTCTTTTTTAACTCAGAAAAAAATTGTAACACATAATTATGTACCACTTCATAGCTTTAAATATTTGTTTTTTAAAAGAAGAACTAGAATAAATATATTTCTAATGGTGTTTTTAGTTTAGTAGTGTTTTAATAATACTGGATTTTTAAATTGTATAAAAATAATTCGCAACAAATTGTTTGTTTTAATTTTTTATGATTATGATGCAAGTTATTAGTCTAAGTCAAAAGTTTAAGGATCCTTAAATTACCGTTAAGAATCTCTCTGAAATGTTTGAAAAGGTGTAAAATGTAAGTTTGAATTTCACTTTAAAATATTTATTACTTTGCAACAGTTACATCTAGGCTAATGAATTTTGAAACATGTAAGGGGTTCACAGGAAAGGCGCCTTTGGCCAGTCTTCTTTTTGCATAAAGCTATAGTGATAACATTGTCACAAGCTTGAACCCATCTTCTCTTCTATGTAGATATTTTTGCACAAAAAAAAGTTTTTTTTTTTAAAATTTTGATTGTATTCGTAGTTAGTGCCATTTTAATGTCACTTGAACACAGCCATTCACATATGGACCTCAGAAAATGGTAGCATTAGTTGATACCCAGCACATTTCAAAGTTATTTACCAATCTTCATGAAGCATGTTTGAGTTTAATTTCTTTTTTTGAAAACCTGAAAATGGGCCAAAAATAAGCGAGTTCTAATACAAAGTGGCAGATAGTTAGTATGTAGAACAATGTGAGGTAGACAGATTTCAGAAATGTGTGTTGAAAACCTTCATGGAACGGATAGTAAAACAATTTCAAGCAACTAATGGTACTGTTCTTGGCGCGCTTCCTGTAAAGGTCAAAGACCTTCTCTAACCTCACCAAGAACTGATGATGCAATGGTAAACACAAGTAAATAAAATCTTAGAGATATTTTGTCTGATCTTTTAGAGATATTGAGGGATAATTTGAACATTAAAATCAGTAGTGAAACTCTCATCATCGTCTGAGGAAGTTGGGCTGATGACTTACATAGCTTTGTGTAAACCTGTGCTTACTGAGCAAAATAAGAGAAAATGAATGAGGAGGTATTATGAGAGGCGTAAATGTTTGCAAGACATTTGGCAAAGATGTGTTTTATCTAAAACCAGGATAGAACTGTATCTAAGATTGCAAGTGAAGATTCTTCTTCTTCGCTCCCTCGAAGAATTAACTTTTCCATAGTCATTTTTTTAATTTATAGTGTCCTTAAAGTTTTCACCAATACAAAACAATAAAACTATGTGATACATTCCCACAAAAATGTATGAATACACCAATTAATAAACTAGGAAATGTCTCTGTTGACCACTATCAAATTGTATCCCCCAAATACCTTTTAACGCCAATGGTATGGACTCCCGTTGAATTTTTGTGGGTTTTTTCCATTTCAACTGCTCACATGCCTCACACAGGACATCAATCAAACCCTGTAAAGAATGGACATTACGAAATCATTGTTCAGTCAAATATTTATATAGAAAAGAAATTGAGTAATGGTAAGTGATATTTCTAATGGAAAATCGCTTTCGAGAAAATATAAATTAAAGAAGCACAGATGCACAACCTTGAGAGAGGTTAGGACATATTAAGTAACCTAAATAATTTTGAAACCATTTAAGGTGGAAACATACAAGATCACTAAATGAAACGTCTTCCTCTTCTTCATTTTGTACGCTTTGGGCGAGGTGGCCATTTGTTTGCAATGAACTTTCTTCATTACCGCTATCACGGTCACTTTCACTACTCGATGCCATGATATGTTGTCCACGCGTGCTCGTGTACCGCAACCAGCGCTATGTGCGGATTTTACACGAACTGGAAAAATAAGACGTGCGTCGATCGAAGGATATTGACCGCACAATTCAAAACACAAACACAAACTTCCTCTTTCCTCTTCAAATACTGAAATGAACTGTGAACAGACACACACTTCTCAACCATTAACACAGTTTGAGACCACAGGGTCCGCGAATTATTCACAAAGGAGCGCTTTAAAGCGTTTCGATCAGCTGATATTTCCGATAGTCAACTTTCTGTTGTCGTGCTTTGCTTGCGACTGCGTATTTCCCTAGCTGTGCGGATGAAGACATGGTAAGGAGAGGAACTCTTTGCAGACGTTATATCAGCATTGAAGAGATTATTGAATGACTGATACATACTTGGAAATCAATTTGAAACATTAAGTCGTTCTTTGTGCATTTAAGGACGCCGAATAAAGTGACTTTGAAGGTGTAGCACCTTCTTTCTTCACCCCTACTCGTATTCCTGTTGCGGATGAATATAGAAACGAAGTAGTGAAGCGGCCGGTGGTCGAAGGGAAGCCATCTTGCATATGAACAAAGCTGCTGTATAGAATTTATTAAAATATAAGTTGTTCAAATTCGCATTGTGTTATTCACTTGTATATTTGGACTATGCCTGGATTATTGCTACATATGTTTACATAGCTATGGCTGCTACAAGGAAGCTACAAGGTAAGAAAGAACGTTGGGACAACTGCTGAGAAATATGACCTCTTACCGACCTGTTTACTGTTTCTCGGCGTATGTGTGCCGTAATTAACGAAACAAGAATGAAAAAATCCCTTATGCGAAGGTATTTGTATGTCTAAATAGTGAGCGAAAGTTTGGAACGCCAAAGAGGTTCCGTAATATAACCTAGAAACCAGTTTGTTGTTGTTTATGTCAGAGCTGGCTGATCATGTTGTACCAGATTTTTTGGCAGTTATTATTTGTTTCTCAGTGTATTAATGAATCATCATGTGTCATTTATGTTTGTGTGTGTTTCGTGTAGTCGGCTATAGTTTTATTTAAGTTTGACAACCTTTCACTTGCGAACAATGAAACAAAGGTTGCACAGTTCTTGTGGTGACATTTGTGTAAAGATAAGTTTTCTCTTATGTGAGTATGTAAAGTTTGTGAAGAAAACCAACAGAGCTGATGGAAGTGTCCAATTTTCAATTTATAGGAGAAATCGATCGGTGTCTTAAAAAAGTGACAGAAGGTGTGGAGACATTTGAAGACATTTGGCAAAAAGTTCACAATGCTACCAACAGCAATCAGAAGGAGAAGTATGAAGCAGATCTTAAGAAGGAGATTAAAAAGCTCCAGCGGTTACGTGACCAAATTAAGAGCTGGATTGCCTCCGGAGAGATTAAGGATAAGAGTACGCTGCTGGAATATCGGAAGCTGATAGAAACAGTGAGTAATTTGTGTTTTGAATGAAGTGTAAGTTAAATTAAAATCTATTTTTGTGAGGGACTTTGTTTATCTCTGATTAGATGTTGCTAGATATTGTAGTTCCTGAAATTGTAACTCCTCAGACTGTGTATAAAAGCAATTGTAATCCCTGAAGTTTTGTGGGGAAAAAATGATAGAAAACTGTACCGAAAAGGCAAAAATTATCACAATCTTAATGACATATTACAACACTAACTGTTTGTTTACATTTCCATTCCTGTTCTCTAATGACTGATATCAGTGATTAATTTAAGTATTTGCATAGTTTACAGTGTATTTATTATGTGATATGTGTATCTTTTGGTAGAATAGGATCTTTTATTGAAGATGAACATGACTGCTACCTATGCCTATAGTTTCAAACAAAAGTTGTTCCATATGGCTGTTTGCATTTTGGCTGCATAGTTAAATTATAAGCATTTTGAATAATGAATATTCATTCAGCTAATTTAAATTCTGTACTTGCATTTGTTGATGTAGTCTGATGCACAAAGAGCACAGAAACCGCTAATGGAGTTCATTGTGCATCTTGTTGCATTGTAGAAATAACCTCAAAATTGCGTCATTCATCATGGATTTGAATAGTATGAGCTATTACACTTTCTTTTTAATGCAATGCAACAGTTCTAGTGCTTTCTTTCCGTTTTCCGTAAGGTTTATTTTGAAATTTGCAGTTCCTTTCATAATATTGTAATTATGTTGCATCATGTTGATTTATTCAGTGTTTGTTTGTTTTCCCCTATTTTCAAAGGATTTGGACATTTTTCTCTTAAATTTACTGTTTTGCACATTATTTTTACTCAGAGAATGAATAAGGCTTACAATAATGTCTCTTTGTTTTCTTGTTTAAATTGGATTTAGCATTATTGAGTGTGAAATTAGTTTTTCTATGAAGCAATTTGTTATAAAATATTACTTAGAAAAAATAATCATTGTGTTAGAAATGGTCAAGTGATAGTAATGAGGTTACGGAATAATAGTGATTTAAAAGTTAATGTAACTTCCCTCATTATATTTGCTTTTTGATCTAAAGGTATCTCGAGTGAATATTGTCATTTATAAAATTAATCCTAACTTCAATGTTTGGGTATTACAGCAAATGGAAAGGTTTAAAGTAGTGGAGCGAGAGACAAAGACCAAAGCGTACTCCAAAGAAGGCCTCGGTGCAGCACAGAAATTGGATCCAGCGCAGAAGGAGAGAGAGGAAATGGCAGCTTGGCTGGCTTCCTCCATTGATGCTCTCAACCTTCAGGTTAGTAGGTACCTGGATATATTCAAACTTCTTCAAATAATTTTATTGTGAGAATGTAGTTTTAACTAATCACGTTTTTTGTCTTTTATGAAACATAGAGGATAGATGGCTAGTACATGAAGTTATGATAATTCTTTTATCAGTGATGAAGGTAGTTGAAATTATCTGAATGCAATATTTCTTAGGAAAGTTATGACAATATGTGGTAGGGGTGTAAAGATGTTGGAATAATAATAATACTGGTCTCCCAGTCAGGACTCTCGGTGTGGAGACTCCAGGGTTATTACTATATTGAACTTCTAAACAGAGTGAAAATTAACAAAATGTAATGTGTGTAAATTACACATAAACATCTTTTGTCATAAAAATTGCATATATCCTGCTTGTGAATAACGATAATGATTTATCAAACATAAAATGCTGAATCAAAAATTAAAACAATCTTGTAATAATGATTTTTCATAAACGTTTTATAGTACTGTTGATAGTGCAAAAACAAAGAAAGTTATATAAAGCAATGTGAAGATTAGTTATGTGCTTAATTTATTCTTATTATTCTTGAATAGTTTCAAGTTATTCTTTACATATCTATTCAGAATCAACACATAAAACAGTATATGCATTTTGAACAGGATAATAAAATATTTGCCATAATTTGTTTCAGTAGACCTTATCCATGTTGAGCAGTAATACATATCTATTTGGTTGTTGCAGTTGGATCAGTTTGAATGTGAGATTGAGTCCTTGCTGGCGGGAAAGAAAAAGCGATTAGACAAGGACAAACAGGACAGAGTGGAGGAGTTAAAGAGCAAGGTTGAAAAGCATCGATATCATATTCGGAAGTTGGAGACATTACTACGGATGTTGGACAACATGTCTGTGGAAGTCAGCCAGGTAGATTGTGATACCGGATACATTTACTTTCACAGTCTCAAAAATGTTGATCTGTGTTTTCACTATAAAACTTGTGTGGTCATTGCAGTACATTGGGGGCCATTACTTAATTAAATACAATGAGCACAGTTTATATCTGCGAACTGCTATTATATGAATAGCAAGAATATAAAAATAGCTACTACAAAGTTAATTGATACTTTATATTAATATTTCATTCATATTTGCAATAAGTAATCATCTATGCCTTTAATAGCAACAATAGCACTGAGATCTATTGCCTTAGGAACTTAAGTGTGCCCTAAACTTTCTGCTCGCTTAGAGTGTTCAGATACTGGTATCTGAACAGTCTCGGAGACACATTGTCGTCCATTGTCCATAATTATTGTAATGTAGCTAACAGATTGACACTACCTTAATACAGATGGCATTGAATTGGAGAATGGTTTTTGTGAATCACAATTGGCTGCACTGCATGACAGATAATGCACCTATCAGTTCCTTCCAACCTTCGGTCTGTTTTACGTGCTTGTTAGAGGATTGCTTCTAAGTTTAAAGCAAAAGAAAACTGTAATCTTCCAAAAATTTTGTCTTCTGTTTGAAATTTGTTCTAGAAATTTTGAACTAATATTGACCATATGTCAAAGCCATTAACAATAAAATAAATGCGTTTTTTACATCTACTGTTGCAACATAATTATTTATGATCAAAATTAGGTGACTGTTAAGTGTTTGTTGTAACTTTTGTAATATTATCCATAATGTATTACTCTTTATGCAGTTTTACATATTACATTTTATTAGACTGCCAAAAAATAATTACAGAGGTAATAACTTGAAAGTACCTTTTGTTTTCAATTGTGTAGGAGTGATAAAATTTGCAAATGCAAGATATTTTGAATTTGTAGTTTGTTTAACTCTTTTCATTCAGTGCTTAGCTTTTTCTACTTAACTGTTTTATGGTTAAGTTTCGTTTCTACATTTTTATTTAATTTTGTTTTTTGTTCAGATCCGAAGAATAAAAGACGATATAGAATATTATATAGAATCTTCACAAGATCCAGATTTTGAAGAAAATGAATATATTTATGATGATATCATCGGACTGGATGAAATAGAACTGACTGGAGTCGGATTGCCATCATCAGCGACAACAGACAGCAACAACAGCAATGACACAGGCGGCACACCAACATCTACAACATCTGGAGCGTCACCTGCACCATCGCCACCATTAGGCACACTGCACAACCATTCCAGTGATAGCTCGGCCGAGGAGAAAAAGAAAGCGAAAGAAGAACTCCCCGCCAAGGTATTCTCAGTTCTTTTTATTATTTTTGGTAGTGCTTGAATTGTGTTGCTGTAAACAAGTTTTATATGGTTTATCTTTTATTCTGTACTATGTTTTAGAGTAAATTAATCGCAACTTTTTGTTAAATGGTTAAAGATAGTTTTAATACAGTTAGAGAGGTAAAAGTATTACATTTGTTTTGACTAATTTTGCCCTTGTCTCATTTAATGGAATGAAACAAGAGTAATATTCAAGAGAAACTTTAAAAAAATCAATATCTGAAATGTTTGTGGTGAAAAATGTGTATTTTACTCAAGTTCAAATGAGTGCAAAATTTTCACTATCAGCAGCAGTGACAAGGAAATAGTCTTGCAGAAATGCTGGGAAACATTGTATTACAGTAAAACCCCCTTTTTTACACTTTTCAGGGGACTGATGAAAATGTTTAAAATACAGAACACTTAAAAAACTGATAGGCTAGGCAAGTTTTTACATTGTTTATTGTAATGGTGGCTCTGTTTATAATGTCTCACTCTTACTTCGTAAGAAGAGAAAGTATTATGTGCCAGAAAACTGCTAATTTTTGACAGAAAAAATCTTATTGATGGGCCCTATAATGAAAAAATGGATAAATCATGTTCCTGTGTATAGTCACATCTAACATGTGGTGTGGCCAGAATCCGTGTTTTGAGTTCTTGAAACCGAAAATATTTATTGATGGCTAAATGTCTGTTTGTCCACCTATGGTCAACGCCAGCGCCAGAACCATTCAGCTGATTGTCTTCAAAATTGATATCCTCCGATTGATCTGAACGAACTTGAGGCGCTGTGAGTTGGCTACTGTAGCACATATGTATTAATTTTGTACATATTGGAGCAGGATTATCCATTTTTTCTGCATCAGTATGGGTTTTTCTATCAAATTATCACTGTTTTTTGCTGCAGCATTGCATAACTTCCTTTGCGCCTTGTATATTTTTCCATATAATTTGCATGGATACGAAAAAGTAAAATATGAAGAGAAGAAATTAAGTAAAATTTGGGAAGCACACTTCATATCAAGTTTGTAAATTGCGGGAAGTGAATGCATTGTAAATGTAGGCCTTACAACGGGACCAATGGAAAAGGCAGAAAAACATAAACTGCAGGAACGGTAAAACAGGGTATTACTGTACTTGATCAAATGTTTGGCAAAGAATCAGTTAATTGTAAAATTATCGTTAAAATCAGAAATTAGTTATTAGTATTTTTTTAAATTTTGGGTAGACAGTGGGAAGCAAGTTTTGATGTTTTGGTCACTTTTCTGAATGTTATCATTGGTGAGACTGATTTTAGGAATTATGAGAAATACAAAATTGTGATTCAGAATTTCTCAGTCACTTAACTAATTTTATATTTTTTAAGGGTAAAGTTAATTGAATATGTCAAAAATAACAGAAAAGGAGCTAGGAATGTTAAGATTAGAAGTCAATTTTGACAGTTGCTTGCGTGTTCCATTTAATTATTAATCTGCTAATAACAGTTTGTTCCATTTTTCTTAAAATATTATGAATAAAAATGAATTTGTAATGGATGGGGATACATTGTTCCTGTACTTCTCTAATACAATCACTATATTAATAGTTGCATATGAACATAAACAGTTAACTGTTCCAGACATTTTCAGAATGGCATTTCCAGAATGGTAGGGTTAGTATGACATTTTACAGAATTCCTAGGGGTTTGATGTCTGAATATTTCAGTTTTTTAATTTAGAGAGGGAGAATTATTCAAAACATGAATTATGCGGTGGACAAAACATGTTCATTTTCAGTTATTTTTGATCAGACTATTAGTTTCTGTGTAATAATAGCACATTTTATAATTTGTTTGACTTTTTCTTAATTCTTGCTATATGTCACAAGATTGTGGCCTGTGCAAGTATGCCTCTAGTTCCAGTGAAATAAATCATTCAAATGCACCTAAAGCAGTTCTACTTTTTTACACTACTACTTTATTAAATTAATAACACTACTTAAGTTAGAAGTAAATTTCTGAAGTTTGGAAAGGATGCTAGTTGGAGATTCGCCCACTCATTAAGTAGAGATTAAGAAGTATAAATAAAATATAAATTATCTTTCAAAGTGCAATTTGAGGCAATAAAATAGGAAAGGAATTGTGGCATTAATACTTATATCTGCCTGGATTTTAGATGATGATGCCTTTTTCAGCCTGTCAAGCCTACCGCTGTGCGTGCCAGCAACAGCACTGCCCTGCTCAACTCGAGTGCCTGTCAAGCAGGCACAACAAAACCTGCCCTCAACACAACACTGAGCAAACCTGCATCAGGTATGTGAAGCTTAATATTCACTCTTGGTATACATCCCTAAGCAACTTCCTTTTATTACCTAAGTGGAATTACTCCTTGAAGCATGTAGATAGCCTGGGCCTATATGGAAGAAATCAAAATCATTCATCAATACATCAAGGCTGAAAGGATTTGATGAACAGTACTGGCTGAAAAGATTAGAAGGAAATGTTGAGATGACAAATAATTAGTTTTGCAACTTCATATATAAATTGAATTAAGTGTTCATTGTCTCAATGTTTTTCTCAAAACGATCTGCTGAGTGGATTTGTGAGGGAAATTAAATTGATGAAATGTTCTTCTAAACTTCTCTCTGAAATGATCTTGGGTCATTGTACTTTTGTCGGTTGTTTTAGTTGAAATGCTATTTCAGGATTTTGCTTTATTTTTATTTTGCAGTCGTAGTTGTTTGGATTTTTATTTTGAAAACTTTTTTAGGCTTCCTTGTAGCATTTTCAAAGTAGAAAAGTTGTATTGATTGTTGTGTAGAGAGTTGCATCAGGGAACTAGAAGCAGTTCATTGGTGCCTGTGTCGCAGGTTCTGTGACCCAGTCAACACCCAACAACAGCTCCCCCAGCTCGGGACTCAGCAATCACATCGGTAATTTTGCTGCTGTAGCAGCTGCCAACACTCAGTCCAACTCCAATTCCTCATGTGAGTTTCTCTTTGCCGTGTTGATTTATGCTTGCATGCAAGTATGGATTCTAGAGCAGACACACCTATTCAATGAGATTGCATTGCATACGTTTGTATCTTCAATAGCATCCTTCAAAAAGCTTATCTTTTTGTTCTGTTGGCAGAAGAAATTAAAATGAAGTCTGATGCCTTCAGGAAAGGTGCTATTGTTTGTCACTGTCTTTTGTCTGTGCAAGATTTGAAACATGATTGTCCTGGTACCTCGGCATTGCGCTGAATGCATGTCTTCATGTATGTATTCAGCTTGAAATTGGAGAATGCTAGTTTTCTTTGAGTTGCTGTGGCTTGTTTTGTCAAATGTCTTATATTTTCTCTCTTGTTCAACATTACAAAGATTGTTCCCCCTTGTTCCCTCATGTTGCAGATTTTGAAGTGGGTTGTATATTGTCATATGGGTCGTATGTCATGATGTTAGACAGTGACTGAAAGAATGGAGTAAGGCATTTTTTCCATATGATTATTGCATATTTTACTACTTGATAGGTCAAGAAGTTTTCATGGAATATTTTGGGTAGTCTTGCAGAATTTGTCTGTAAAATTTCCATTCTGATGTTCCTTGGCAGTGATTTAATGACCATTGGACATATGAATGTCAAAACTCAAAATATTGGAAACAGTACTTAGTAAAACCACCAAATGCTTGCAAATGCAGCACAAAACTTTTGAATGATTGACAATGAAAGTTTTTCTGGCATTGACAAAAACATATTTTCTTATCACTATTAGTGCAGACTGATTTTCTGAAAGGAAGGATGCCTTGAAAGCATGCTTATATAATGATTTATTATACTTTGTGCATATCCCACTTTTGGGCAGTTCTGATGGTATGGCTTTGTGCGAGTAAGGTGAGGTTTATTAATATTTTCTGATATAAGTTAATTTTGCCCCCACATCTCTCAATGCTTTAGCACATTGCATGTATTCATAGCCCTTTTCTTCTCTTATATAAAGTAAAATCTGAAACCTTAGTAGAAATGGCTCAAAATGATTGGTTTACTTTCTCATATTACAAATATATGGTCTTATAAACATAGTGTGTAGTACTGTGGAAAGTCAGTTTCAAGATTTCAGTGGAAATACATGTTATGGGATTCCCTGATGCCGAAAATGTGTTGTTGTTCGTTTTTCTTTTTTTTTCTTTCAAAACGTTTGTCTATCTGTGAACAATTCTATTGCCTAAACTATTTGAAAGAGTTTTGCAAAAATGAATATTCCCTGATTGATCTGGCCTGACTCAAAGCTCTGTATTTTTGGAAAAAGTTCTTTACAATTTTTAAGAAACTCACATGAAAACCCTGGGACATTTTCAAAATTCTCTCAAAAAAGGCTGCAATTTATTTCTTTAAAGTTCTTGTAAGAGTAGAGTGAAATACGCTTACAAAAATGGTACAGGTGTAATTTTGTGACGCTCAACTTTCAAAAATTGCAGAAGTTTGTAATTTTTGAATCTCCATGTACAACTGCTTTATTGAAATTAGGAATATTTTCTTCAAATTCTTTTCATTTTTTGCAATATATGAGTATCAAGATTTTCAAAAAAAAAAAAAAAAAAAAGGCTCCAATTGTTTTCGTTAAACTTTTTGTTTGGATAGTACACAACAGAATCCAGTTTGCTGTATTATTTTGATTTTTTTAAAATTACATTAATGTAATTTTCTTTTAAAATACATTACACAAATGTAATGTATCATGGATATTCATATACATTACTGCATTGTAACTTCAGGTGCTTCAAATATCTTATGAAGCTTGTTGGTAATTCAAAAGTTTTCTATGAAAATTATATCCAAAATGTGCATTTTTAGAAACTCTTAAATGACATATTCACACAATTTATTTATGAAAATTAGAATGTAGGTCCAGGTTTTTCATAATATTCTTAACGTCATATTTAAGTTCTAGTATTATTTAACAAAAAAAATGGAGATCATGTGAAACAATGTTTTTAGTTGCTGATAGCTAATAGCTGGGAAAAGGGTGAGGCAAAACTGGAAATGTAACCCACACTAAAGAGATTGGGAAACTAACTATAGAGCGAGTTTTATAAGAATGGACCGTTTTGACAGCTAGTGTTGGCAACACAACTGAAGGTTCTGTGATTGTTGTGTTCTTGAGCCTATTAGACTCTCCTTTCTGCATTTGTTCGTTTTCAGTTGGCCAACTTGTAAATGGCTTTGACGCTTCCTTTGGTGTCTTTGATGTCTTCATCCAACGAAAATACAGTGTGCTACAAGACATTTTCCCACGTACGAAATTATATTTCAATATTTCCCAGACTCGCGTATGTGCATATACCTGAGCAAAAACTCTTAGACTTTTGTATGTCTTCGCGGTAGCCATAAACAAACCTCCGTGCGTAAGGAATACTCCTCTGAATTACACGTGATATTCACTTGTTTAGCAATCACTTCAGCTCATTGTTATAAAAAACGCTCTTTAGTATGAGAAAGTCTGTGCTAGTTTGTAGCACCACTAGTTTTCTTTTTGGAACTTGAGATGGTTTACATTTCTTAATTTTGGATGATTTAACTTTTAGTAAAATAATTACAACGAAAATTCTCTTAAATACAATGATTTGAAAACTGATTTATTTCTTTTTTGGAACAAGCAATTGTATGGTTGAAAGTGTTGTAATCAAAGGGAAATGAACTCTTACATATTAATCGTTGTTAATGTGTTTTACTAAGTTACACTTAAAAGGGTTTTGGAGAGAAAGAAAGTCACATAATTTGATATTAACCCTTTGCACTTGTAGGGCATTTGTATCGTGATATGCATGAATGCACTCTGGGGTAAGATGTTTCTAATCACTGCAAGGTCCTTTAGCTTGTAAGGCATCCGTAAGATCACAATGGAAAATGGCGGCACATCTCGTAGTAGATACTTTGCATGCCCTCACTCCAGCTCTTAACTGGTTTCACCAGTCATGGTTGATAGTAGTCTACCAATGTATGATTGTTTTTATTCTATTTCACATTTTCTGTTTATTGATACAGGAAACATTCATGTGAAATCTATACGAATTGAAATTCAAATGTCAGAACTAGTGAATTGAAATAAATTCTGTAAATAAAGTTCATTAGTTTGTTATTTTATAGATATAAGTTTGGAAGTTAAAAATGTACAATTCACTAATTTTTAAAGAGGATTAATTTGCTTAATTGGTATTACATTGTAAACACTTTACAATTGGAAATGTCCAGGATATATTGCTGGCTTACTGGGAAAAGTTTAGTAGAAAAATATTGTTGCTCTTCTCCTGTTTTTTCTGTTGTATCGCATTTGTCAAATACAACAAATGTGATAGTTGTTTAGGGAAAAGATGCAATGGAAACTTCCATTTAACTTGCAGCCCCTTTCTTGTGACCTCATACAAGTTCAAAAACGAGACACTTTCTAAAATGTTTATTTTTCATCTCGTTATTTGTGGTGTGGTTTATTCAATGTATATGAATTGGTGATGGACACATCGAAAAACAAAAAAAATATTTTCCTACACCATTTGCCTGTTTTCCATCTGAAACAATATGATGTTTGTACTGATAAGCAATGTTGACCAGTACTAGCTATTTCAAATGAGTAAAATGCCAGTGTGTATGATAATGTTATGACCTTATTACATCAACATTGTCTAAAAATGGAACTGTAACTTGCATCAATTCAACAAAGAAAATTTTATTTTACATGCCAGGAAAATACATGAATATCTGTCAGAAGCTACGAGTCCATCAGAGATTTTGGTGGGGCATTTTAGTGATTTCCTACGAGTTGTGGGACGTGTTACTTTACATACTTATACAAGATGGTAACCATTATTCTCGGTATCATCTGAGAATCCTTGTTGTCATCTCTGAGATGTTGTATCAGCTGTGGGACGTGTATTGTGCTCATTGCATATGCGTGCAAAGGGTTAAAATAATGGTATCTCAATCAATAAGAATTCAGTCAGAATTCATATGCAATGAGAATTTACTTAGGTGCATTGTTCACCTGATTTGTTGCCAGACAAAGTTGAAATGTTAATAAATGTGTTTTTTAATGAAACTTAACTCTTTGCAGTACATGGTGCAGAGAATGGCACTGTTCAAGCAAATGCCACTACAGCAGCACCTTTGCTGCAACTCCCAACACCACCACCTCATCCAACATCTTCGACTACACCGAGCTCTCAGTCACAACCAGTGCCCACTCAACCTTCAGCACCAGCGCAGCCAGTGCCAACACAACAACCTGGCAGTGGTAGTGGACCAGTGGGACAAACATCTGCTGGACCTGCGCAGCAGTCCCAGCCAATTCCTGCAGGGCAACCTCAAGTCTCCGGAACACATCATGGCCACCTTCATCATCATCCAATGTTACATCACCCTGCGGGACAGGCGACAGGCACTGCACCTGCTAACCAGTCATCAGCGGGACAAAATTCTACACCTAATACAGCGCAACAGCAAATGGCTTGCAAAGGAGCAGCTGCGGGGCAGCAGCCTGCACCAGTGCCAGCACCTACACCTCTGACCAACTCTTTGGAGCACCATTCGGCTCTCTCAGGCTCAGCGGGGACGGGCCCTGCATCTCCACCTTCATCAGTTAGTAGTGCTCCATCACCACTGCCCAACGCTGGGCCTGCTCCCTCCCCAGCGCAGCCCATTCCTAGCAATGCAAACAGCCAGAACAGTGTACCTAGTGGACACCAAGTGCCACTCAATGTTGCAACTCTCAATGGACCCATTGCAAGTAATAAGGTGAGACCTTTTAAAGTATGTTTTTCTCTATTCAGTTTTCATTAATTAAAATAGAAAAAAGCAGTTTCAGTGTCTGGCTGTTGTGACTGATAAATACTTTTTTGAAATGCCTTCTAAACAGCTCCCAGCCTTTGAGCTTTACGTTCTCAAAAATTAATGGGAGTTTATTTTACCCGCGTTTAGATGCCAACACTGGATGTACACAATTACTCATGATGCTGCTTAAAATTTAGTGTTTCTTTCATTTTATGTGCTCAGTTTGCATGGTCATCGTTAGGGTCCAGATATTTAGAATTTTATAAACACCTTTTTTAGGATTTTTGGAAAGTTGATATAGCTTCTTTTATGGTTTTATAATTTCTCTAATCATATAGTATCAGGCTGATCCTTAATTGCAACAAATAATCTTTAAATTACTTCCTCATTTTATTTGCTGTCTTTACTTCTGAAGGGAGCAAAATTCTTTTTATAAAGCGATACTCTTTAAAAACAATTTTTTAACTAATTTAATATCCCCCCAAAAACTAACATTAAAGATAGTAGTGATTTGCTGGTTATGAGCGGTGTGCGATGTTCACTTGTTTTCAGACATCCCCCTCCACCTAGCGTTACCAACCTAACAGAAACAAGAGGGTTTATAGGAATGGGCACGTATGAAATAAACAACATAGACAAGATAGATTTAAGCGGCGGCGATGGTGTAACGGTTAGCATACTGGACTGTTGTACCCAAGTTCGCGGGTTCAAATCCGATCGAAGCCGTGGATTTGATTTTCTTTGGCGGTCGTTTCTCTGGTAGGAAAGGTCTGAAAGGAGCGTAGCGAAATTTGCGTGGGCAGACGGAAGAGCGGGCCTGATGGCCCGAGTCTCGCCACGTAAAATAAGGCAAATTCAATTCAATTCAATCAAATTTATTGCAGAAATGGCGTCATAAATACTCGGCCAAGTACATAGCCATGTTCTCATGCTGAACACCGCCTCGGGCCAGTCTTCTACGAAGTGTATGGCAGGTGGATTCAATGTTGTTTGCGTGAATCCTAGTTACAGGATCTACAAAGTAAGGAGAGTGATTCTCTGCCCCATGGAAAAAGCTGGCTTTACCCCCTCCAGAAGTCAGTGTAAATTGTGGTGCTGCAAAATCAATTGCAACAATGTGACCTTCTGTTGTTGGGACACACTTCTTGGCGAACTTCTCTAGTTTCCCGGTCAATTATGCCCAGAACTCACTATCCTACAACACGGCCATAATGATATTTCTGGCAGCCCATCTTGCATTCATCACTTTCAATGATATGGTTTTCGTCTTTGATGGTTGGCTTCTTACTTTTCAGTGCATGATGGGGGTAATTCATGAACAAGTGACCACTGCACTCTGCACAAAAACAGCAGATCGCTCGTATGCCATAATGTTCAAACCAAAAATAAAAAATGTAGACACTGTGGCAATGAACAACCATGTATAATCCCAAAATGTCTAGTGTTAAAAAACTTCCTATTGCCTCTCAACACATTCTTGAAACGAGAAAAGATTCTTTCAATGCAACGTAAAATCATTGGTGCATACCTATGCTATATGCCCCTGCTCTTAATCCCCAAAGTGGATGGCTCTCAATCAAATTTGTATATTTTGTCTGTGTAATCAGAAACGGTAATCATCTTGTTTCATTTTCAAGAGCTTTGATAGTACATACATTACTTACAGTGTCTGTAATTTCCTTCTATGAAACAGTGCGTTCAGTGAAGAAAGCATGATGCTCATTTAGAAGAAGACATGGCTATTCTAATTTTTAGCAGGAATTTATTGTTAATTCAGTTAGTAGTAATAATGGAAAAGTAAGATGCATAGTTAGAAATGATAAATGCTGAGTCAAGGCCACCATAAAATTCTGATCATCCTGCATTAAGAAATGAATTTTTTTAAGCTAATGTAGCCAAAGTTTTTATGAAATCCTGATTTAGCCTCTTTAGGATCGTAACTCATTTTAGCTGTTTTTAGGATCTGCAGGATTTACTATTTGGCTTAAAAATTATTGAAACTGGTATGTGTATTAAAAAGAGAGGAACAAAATAGGTAACAACTTAGAATCTGGGCCCTATTCATTGTATCTCTTCAACTTCAACTCTTGGAAATCAGATCACTGTATTTTGTCCCTATGTTTCACAGTCTCTCCTTGAGAGAATCTTAAATTATTTTTTAACCTCTTAAGAAAATAAGTTGAATATCATAACTGTTCATTTAGATGAACGGCCAGAGAAACATATGTATAAAACCTATGTACTCCGGTATTCAGAATCCTTAAATAAGTTTTTTATTTAATTCTATTTTACAATAGGCCCTCTGGCCCAATACAGTAAATAAAACGAAGTATTTTGATAATTACAATCCTGAGTCTACTGCTTAATACATAATACAAAAAGAAGTCTACACAAAAAAGATATAAAATAGAAAAAATAGTTAAAGATATGAAATATATCCATAATAAATACACACTTATTATCTGTCAAGTATGATCAATAATATTCATAACATCGCTGTTTAATACCCCTGTAAAAAGCTGTTCAATTTTGTAGGTAAATCTTCAATAGACAAAAATTGATTAACACTTATAGCAATGCACGGTACGGCAAAATAATACATAAAAATAGTTTGACAATTAAATTCCTTCAGAAGCATTTTAGATCTTATGGTATGTGGATTATTATAAGAGTAATCATGAGAGTATTTTGGGTTTGTTAAATTTGCTTTAAATGCTGTCCAAGTAAAAAACTTGTTGAATTCATTCAAGTTTTTTTGTGTTTAAATTTGTATGTGGAGACCCAACTACTGAAAAAGTACATCCATTTTGTTTTAACTAATGATTAATATAATAAAATTTTAGTTTAATAGATCTAAATTTTGTGGTATTTCTTTTTAAAATCCAAGTTGAGGAACTGAGATGAAAAAGTTAAACTATTGTCTGTTGGTCATGTATGTTATCTATTTGTATGTCTTATACAGTGCTGCTTACTGTAAAGACAGAAAATCTTCAGTAATGCTCAATCCAAATTTTAACTTTTGCTAATTTGCATTACTGAGCTTGCTTATCTTCAAAGGGTGAAAATGCTAAAGGAGCAATATTATCCAAGAGTAAATATAGAGGAAATATGCATATCAAAATTCTTATTTTATGCAAATGATTAAAAGGACTGTGAGAATTGATCTTGATTATTTTTGCACTGAAATTGTTACCTTTAATCATTGCAATCTACATGTTATTGAAAAAACTGTCTTTGTTCTGAAATAATAATCCTAATTGCTACAAATCATCTGCAAGAAATGTTTTTGTAAAGAATAATACATGTCTTGGTATTCTTGTATTGTTACATCTGCTGTAATATTTATTCCTTTTGTGTAATAACGCCTCCATCTGCCTGACTACTGTCACCACTTGAGCTCCATTGATGCCAATGCATCGTTGCTCCTGCTTCCACCCAATCGCATCATTTGCAATCACGCCGCGCTCAGCTGCCGATCTCTCTGCGGCAGGTCCCTGACGGGATGTCATCTCTCAAGTCCATAGCGCAGCAAGTGATCGACCGAGCGGGTCTGGAACTTCCACCTCCGGCGGGCAGTGGCGGTGGTAGCGGGGGCTCAAGTGAGTCGGGCAGCGGAGCTGGTGGGCGAGGGCTGTTTGACAAAACGTCATCAGGAGGCAGCGGTGCACCAACATCCGAGGCGCACATCCCACCTTTACTGGGTGTTGCACCACTGGGGCCGGTTCCTTTGCAGAAGGAGCATCAGTGCCAGTTCCAGATGATGGAGGCAGCATACTTCCACATGCCACATCCTAGCGACTCTGAAAGGCTGCGCACGTACCTGCCGCGCAATCCATGCCCCACACCCCTTTACTATCATCAGGTAGGTGAGCGATTGCATGTATGGCCTTCAGTGAAACGGCATTGGCCAGTTGTGTTGATTTTCGTCTTGTGAATACATACTTGTTAAACACTATACACATAAAGTAAATTTTTATTCTGATTTTTACTGATTATTATTTTTGAAATATGTTTGAAACCTTGAATTTCTTTTGATTAGATAGGCGAACATAGATTTTCACGAACATTTATGTTCTCCACTCTTGGCTTTAATTTTTTTTTCTTCTGATCTTTCCATTGCACCTTCTTTTATTCTGTTCAGATGCATCTCTAAGGATTATTGTGCGGGTTTTCTTTAAATCTATATATAAGTCTTCCAGGTTGTGTTGGGCCTCTTCTATTAGAATATTTTCATTTCCAATGTGATCAGCAATGTCTTTGGCTATTTTCAGACCTTCATTTACTTGTGAATGTAGTGCTTTTATCTATATTATCCTTGGTACTTGGGTGTCTGCAAAATATTTCAGTGTCTGAGCCAGGGCACTTCAAAATTTCTTTCAATCTGTTGCCTTCTTGTCAGGAAGCAAAGCAATTATTGAGGTTGTATGAGTGAGCGGTAAAGTAAGTCTAAACAATTTCTTGACTATGGAAAGAATTATGCAGTTACACTTTAAAATTGTGGATTGTATAGTAAAATAATGAAAAGACTGTGGTGTGATAGATTTGTTTATTTCTGCAGGTTCCATTACCCCACTCTGACACAGTGGAGTTCTTCCAGCGATTATCGACAGAGACCCTCTTCTTTATCTTCTACTACATGGAGGGAACCAAGGCCCAGTACCTGGCTGCCAAGGCACTCAAGAAACAGAGTTGGAGGTTCCACACAAAGTACATGATGTGGTTCCAGCGTCATGAGGAGCCCAAGATTATCAACGAGGAGTATGAGCAGGTGAAGATGAGTTTTTGACTTTTCTACTTTAGTCATATTTATTCCTTCATTTTAGCTAATTATTTTTATCTTTTAGGGCACATATATCTACTTTGACTATGAAAAGTGGGGCCAAAGGAAGAAAGAAGGTTTTACATTTGAATATAAGTACTTAGAAGATCGTGACCTGAACTGAGGAAGAGTCGGTTGTGGGGCCAGACCCATCAGCAGTGACCCTGTATAGAACAGCCTTTCCTTCCTCTGCTGTTGGAGAGTTGGCCCTGCCAGAGAGGCAGCCAGGGCCATTTGTCCCCTGGTCCGGGGACACATAGCCCAAACTGTGGGAGTCTCCACAGAAAGCAAGAGACATTGTTTTTGGTACAGGTTATCATTATTTTTTGTTCTTTCACCATTCTGGGCATCCGTCCGGAAACTGCACTGCTCCGCAACGTGTGAGTGGTGTTTGGAAAGATCTCTCGAAGAAGCATCGTCGCTGTCACAAGAGGACCCGGCTAGTTGTGGCTGTGGCGTTGGCCAGTTTTTCTGGGACATGTGTATTATCAGTGTTGCGGCCGCCGCCCCCACATGTGTGGGCGCAGTGCTGCCCTGCCCCACCTTGGAACAGCTGCGTCTGTCGGGCGGGTGAGGACAAGAGCCTCCCATCTGCCCTCCTGTTGCCCGGTCCTTACGCTCTGCATTGTGCTGCTTCGCGTAATTTCATTCACGTGCAAGAGTACTTGTGTTAGTTTTCACTTTTGTATAAAGTACTGAAAATGGTATAAAATAATTATCTGTACAGAGCTATTTGTGTAGAATAATGAATAATAATTATTATGAGGAAGAATGTATTACATTTTATTATATTGCACGGTGACTGGACCGCAAGTAGCGGTGTAGTGTGTGAGGCTGGCAAGGAGGCAGCCTAGGTGCTGAAATGCGATGCAGTGGCATTGTTTAACTAGCTGGCTGTTCAGGGAATTTCATAATTCAAAAGTTGTTGTTAAAAAAACAGAAAAGTACCCTAAAAATATACAAATTATATATATATGCCAAAATATATATACACTTATATACCGAATGCCCACATTGGACAGAGCCGTGTTGTTGTATGCCATGGAGGTTGCCTGAGCAGTGCCTGGGGCATCCCACAAGTCAGTTGCACTGCCTTCCAATAATTTGTTGTTGCATTTGTGCTGGGTTCACATGAACTCACGGCACTAACATAAGACCAAGAATCTGCAGCATTTTGCTATGGTCTTTAATTTGTTTAAAGAGCTATCCAAGCAGCCAAGTGCAGTTTTACTGTGTTGCATAAAGTCTTGCTGAAGTGATACTATTTTTACTGTTTTGTTGTTATCTCAGTCTATGCATTTATGCGCAAGGGCTGCCTTGCGGTGAGGTTTGGCAGTGTATTTGCCCTGTCGGTTGGGTTGTACATGCCTTGTTGCTGCTGGGCAGTCCTGGCTGCTGGGCGGAAGTTTGCGTGTGAGTTACGAGTGCATTGTATGTATGTGACGTGTGCTGTGGTGTTCCTCGGTCTGGTTGCTCGAAATTAGCAGTGCTTCGGTTGGTGAGCCTGGGTGTCAGCTTCCGAGTGGAAGATGGAGGCAAGTTGTGAGGGAGAAAGGGAACTCTTTCTCTTGTGATGATTCCGGTAATGGATCCTAGAATGTGTCCAGTGCTCAACCGATGACTTTGAATGATCTCAGCAGTGGTGTGCCAGTGATTTACAGACCTTTTCACACAATGTGTTTTCAATTCTTGTCATCCACACTTGGATTGAAATGTTTCATTATTTGCAGGTTTTTTTTTAAACCACAAGTCTTTCTTCTACTTGATTTATATTGTGCAACAATGAGAGACGCGTATAGAAGTGCTTTCTTTTTTTAAAAAAAATGCCTTGGAAAAAAAAAAGCAGTATTGCATGCGTGTGCAAATGTCTGAGGTATGTTGTGGTTTTTGTTTTGGATGATCTTATTAGAAAGTTCTACAGTAATCAGTTTGGGTTTTAAACTTCCGCACTTCTTGGCTGTTGGGAGGTCCCGGGTGGGGCCTCAGTTGCACTGGCATAGCTTGTGTGTCTGGGGCCTGGCTTGGGCTGGTTCAAGCACCACCTACTGCAGGCTGGTCCTCAGCTTGCGCTGGGGCCTGGTTGAAGTCACAATGGCATTGCTCGTGGGGTGGGGCCTCTCTCGTTCAGCTGGTACAGTGTTCCAGGGCAAAAAGTCCAACGCTATTAATAGTGATGAATTCGTGTTCTGGGGGCATTTTTAAAACTTTAGCAGCCAAGGGTACTAATGTACATGGTGCCAATAAATCAAATTTTATGATGTTTGGTGAGACTTGTCTGCCAGGGGCCCCCCCTTGGTTACATTCATACTCATGTAGCATACTGTTCCAGTCATCAAATTGTAGTATTTACAACATGTGATATGATTTTTTAAGATGAACTTCCTAAGTTTTGGGACTGTGGGAAGTTAAGATTGTAGTTTTTTAAAAAAAAATGAAGATCTTACTTCCAGTGATTTAAGGGTATTATTTGGATATTTTGAGGTCGTGCTTATTAGGATTTCTATGGTGTATTTATTACTTTGTTGCTCCTTTTTTGATTCAGGGGGCCCCAAAGGACTGATTTTGGGAGGGGGGACCTAAGAAATCCCAAGGAAGCGCCGGCCTCCATCAATGCGCAGGATCGTGATCACAAATGTAATTATTTTTGTTTTGTGGATTCCTGCCTCCACTGATGTGTGGGTCTTTGTGCCTGCATTAAATTAAGTGATGGGTTTTAAGGGGTTCTTTTTGTGTTGTGCTGATTGAATCGGCAAAACTACTTGTTTGCTGGTCTAAATCTAGTTGATAAGTTGTACAGTCTGAAACCATGTGTGATATTTGTTGAATATGAAAACCTCATTGAGCAATGCTATTTTTGGTAGTGACATTTATGACCTTGTAATATAGGAAGTGAGAAGCATATTTGATATTCAAAAAAAAAAAAATTCATGAAACATGAATATTCAAAGTGCAATTGAGAGATCATGGAAGAATGTTAAAAAAAATGGTAACCTGAGACAAAATACAGTGATTTTTGTCAGTGTACAAATTGTTGTTTTTGTGCCTATTGTCCCTTGAGACCAATCCTTGTCACACCTATACATTAGAAAATATATTTATCTTTTTTCCAGATTTGCAGTACTTTTTTAACCTACTTTTGCTAACTACAAGAATACAAAGACATCCAAAAGCAAAAGAGATCTATCACATTTGTGTTGTTAACCAAACAAAATCAGTTACATTCAATTTTTAGAGTGGAGTAAATGCAATGCTTGTATATGTAAAAGACTATTTACATTGAATACATGAATAATGAACATCTTATTTCAAGAGAAGAATGTAATCTGTTCTATATATACACTAAGGAAAGTTGGTATTCTTGTGCAATTTATAAAACATCAATAATGCAAAGCTCCAGTAATGTAGCACTGCTGGATAAGGAATTATCCTCTAGGCCTCAAACAGATTTGGGATGAAAAATGAAGAATTGTGTAGAAAATTCTATCAAGAAATCAGTAGGTAAACATTTAGTCAGTGACACATGTTGCCATTGGGCATAAATAAAATAAGTATATTATAAACCCTTAATCCTATAACATGGTTTACCGTATTGATGGCATGTTCATTTCACCATCTTTCATCTTCAGGAATAAAGGAATTAGGATGTTTGGAAAACTCAAGAAATTAAAACTGAATGTTGACAATTCTCTTTTCATGCAAGAAAGTACTCCCTGCAATGCACACAGGAGAAATGTTATGGCCAGTTCTAAAAAAATGCTCAGCATTTTGTAACTGTTGTGTTTCAGTGAAGATTAGAAACTCTGCTACTGAAAAACTGAAACATCTTTGATAAATAATTGATAAATGAAGATTTATACAAAAATATTAGCATACGAAATTATCATCAAGGCATTTATGTGCAATTCCCTTGTGTCACGATTATGAATGCTGTATATAATAAAAAAGACATCAGGGAGTTGATCAAGCAAACCTCTTAAAAAAAAAAAAGAGGTCCATGAAAGAAAAAGGTTGCGAATCTCTGATCGAAACAATACATCTTGTCTCCGAGTAGCAAATTTAATTTATGAGGTATGAGGAGGCATCTAAAATATATTAAATAATAATTTTGTTTAAAATTAATTTAAAAAAAACGTAGTTAACGTAAAAATGTTTAATTTTGGGGGGGGGGGGGCTATTTGATTTACAATCAGAACTGTCAGAAAGCTTACAGAAGAAAAGTATTTCCTTAATTGTGCGACTTAGGACACATTGTCGGTGCTATAATTGGGTTTTGCTATGAAGTAAAGGTGCACTGAAATTAAGTGAATTGTCTTGAATATCGTGTCAAGTTCTGCAAAAATATCGTATTTTGTTCCTCAAATTTAAGGAGGATTCACTTTTTGTGATCTATACATTCCCCATTTGGCTAGAAGCATCATTTGAGGGCCGGTATTTTTGCCTACTTATGTACTAATACTATTAATAAAGCAAATCTGCCTAAATTAGACTTTAATTAAATTCAATCCAGTGAATTTATTTTTCTTTACATTTTTTTTTCTTTCTTCATTTAATATGTAATATATTGTTTCCTTCAATATTCTTAGTACTTCTTTGGAATGAGATTCTGTCTACTCTTCTGGTACAGTAAAGTACAGAATAACTGTCCATTTATTTTGTTGATAAAAGAAAAGTAAAATGTCCTAAAAATTGTAATTTTTCTAGCTAGCAAATATTTAAAAAAATTAAAAATTTTCTTTAGTGGAGGGGATCAGTATTGAAATATCCCCCACTCTGAAATACTTTCCTGATGAAGATTAAACATTTTTATTAATTGTAACAACAAAAAGTAGAACAATTTCACCAACTTCATTATGAATCTGGGTACATACACTTCTCTGACACATTATTTGCATTACTTAGGATGAATAGAAGGATTCCTGCAGGAAGAATATACACATGTTTTTTCTGTAACAAAGGTTAGCCGAGTGCTTGGAGAATAAGGAAAATAACCCTTGTTGAGCTTCGAGCATCCAATTAACAGACTCCAAAATTATCAGAGGGTGCAAGTGTGTTTGTGTGTGTGGGTGGTCGAATACTTAGACGACTTCTGAAGTTGTACACCTTACAAGGGTATTATTTCTATTACATTTCAGTGAAATTCTTATTTTCAACTTTCAATATTAATAACACTTCACCTGCATATTTTGAAATGAATAGTACCAGTAATACGTGATGGCGCACATCCAAGCTTTGAATCGTACGCAACAATCGCGCCGAAGCTGGTTCTTTTTCCCACCGCAAGGTGCGCTGTTTGTGACAGCGGCGCAACGTCACGCGCGGCAGAGGCAGAACCGATCGTTCTGTCAAACGCGACGCGTGTGACGGCGTCGTAGAGCCTTCGGAATTCCGCGAACGAACGACAAACACTACTCCAATGATTTCACGCGGGGCGACGCGGAGCGACGCGAGACGTCGCGCGTCTGAGGTGGCGGGAGCGGGCGCGGCGGCTCCTCGGAAGGACCGCGAACGCCGGCGTCGGCCCGTGAGCACCGGCGCCGCGACGCCCGTGCGCGCCCGAGCCGGCGGAGGGGGCAGGGACGCGGCCCGCCCGCAGCTGCACGGCGGACAGGTGAGTCAGCGGCATCGATTTCTTCGCGTACGCACCGCGTGGGGGCGGCCACGCGTGACTGGCGGCCGCGAGGGGCGACGCGGCGTCCGCACGGCGACGGCGTCGGCTGCCGTCCCAGGAAGCATTGCACTTCCTCAATCTTCAGCTGATTCAGTCAGCGGTTCGAAGAGACCGTAACGAAACAAATTCACGCATTGGTGAATTTCATTAATAACGAGACTCTACTGATTTACTGGAAGCACGTGCGGATTTCTATTTCATATATTTAAAATGGTTCCCGTTTCCTGTCTAAGCCAGAGATGTTGACTTTTGAGTAGTTTGTGATGAATTAATATTAAAGCAAGGCAGCGGAGACAAAACCTGGACAAAAATCTTGCTAACATCTTAAGAGAAATCATTCGAGAGACAAGTTTTCTCAGTTTAGTTAAGAACTACTAAGTACCATGAACAAAGAGACTTTCTTTCCAATTGGCAAAAAAAAGCGCCACATTTAAATTAGCGAGAGGGTGCGAAATTTTTAACCTAGGACATTCCTCATATCATATTTCTAAAGGTGCCAATGGGACAGTATCTATGGAATCTGAATTCGTAAAAAGAAACTATTGTTGAAGTTTATGACACGTCCAGTTTAACACCCCTGAGACAAACACATTGTATACCAATCGAAAATTTTAATGTATTTAATTTCGTATAATTTGAAAGGCTTGTTAAACGGAAGACAGAAGCCATTTACTATGTATATTTTGCACATTAAGAGGTATAACTATTTCTGTGACACCTAATCATCACACCACTGTACACTGATGTAGTTTTATTTATCAACGATGGAAATCTCGTGTGCTTAATGGCAATAAAACGAAATACTACAGTAATAATAGGTAACGACTTAATAGCAATACTTTTGTGCAAAGAAAATTGCGAAGTAGTGCGTCCGCTCTCTGTCGCCAGGAGTCACAGAGAACAGCTCTCCCTCCCCCGCGCCGCCCCGCTTCCGCCTCACCGACCGTCGACCTCCAGGTGAGCGGAGCAGCAGTTAGGACCGATAGGCGTTGAGCACTCAAAAAGAATTGACACCTTAAACCCAAAGTAATACCGGGGTATTGGCAGGTGCCAGCGTACAGCTTATAGCTGTTGGCCTCAAAACATATCCATTCGATACAAACAAAATTTCTGTTTCTCTGTGTGGCACATATGATTCCGCCAACAGTCGAAAAGACATTACCCAGAAGGTATGGAAAGTTCATGATTTGATTATCGTGTATCAGCTTTCTGTGCAATTAATTGCACAGTTCTAAAATTATGTTCTTAAGGAAATATCTTCGCAAATTTTACCTTGGAATAGACATAACTATGTCTTATTCGTATAGCAAATTTCAGTAGCTTAATTTTGTTACAGTTTCAGATTCAGATACTTGAATAACTGAATATGACTCACGTTTATCTTACCTTAAACGCTAACGAATGGCAGGTTATTCTAAATCTTTAAATTATCCGCAAAAGAACTGTCTGCTAGTGAATCGTGAGATCGGAAACGAGAACCTGTTTTGTCGATTACCTACAGGTGGGTGACGGACGGCGAAGAACGATCTGAGTACGCCGCTCTCATGTTATCGATTCGCGAGCACTTGTGGACGGAGCTGCGACCGGACTCGCGTGACGTAAGAATCGATCGCGTGCGTCGTCACGTGTCTTCACCCTCCCAAAGCGAAGGGAGAGGATGGTGCTGCGTCACACACACACACACACACACAGACTTATCATTCACGTCAGTAACAAAGTCAGAATTCATGTTATGTACAAAATGTTAGTGCTACCCCAAAAATCTTGAAAAATAAACAGTGTATAGATAATTACGAAAATTACATAGCAATTAAATGTCGATTTATGAAATATTGCTTATTGCTCCTAAACTTACAACACTTTTTGTGTGTCAACAGTGCTTTCTCTCATAACCCGAAACTATCTTATCATATTGTCATATTACACGTCCTAGCAAGAAATGTAATTAATTTCCCTACTCTAAAATTTTATATACAATTCATTTGAACCTGGCGAGGTAAATTTATTTACTGTTTCGTTAATTGTGAAAATAAATATTTACAAAATAGATTAGTGCTCTGAAAAAAACTTAAATTAGAAACTCATGTTTGTTACAGTTTTATTTTGTTTTATGTCTCCATAGATACACGTAATCGTCAAAGTGTATAAAAATTTTCTAATTTTATTGGATTATTTGAGCTTTACCCAAAAGTTCTTGTTGATGGTGAATACTATTGGATACCGTGTTTCGTGTAGTTTTCATACTGTTAACTAAAACAATAATATATTCCATACGGTACTAGAATATTATAATAACTTTAATTTCATTGTCAATAGAAGATAATGTATGGCAATTTCGTTACTGTTCCTACGGTTTTTTCTATTTAGCTTAATCGAGATCATCAAGTAATTTGCAAACAGTTGTTCATCATCATCATCATCATCATCATCGTCAACTTAT